CCAAACCCACCGACATCATCGGCACCTCCCCGACCTCCTCCTCCCTCCTCCTATCACATAGCTCTACTAACGAAGACATATAGTTCGCGCACCTGGAAACCAAGACCTTCTACAACAACGTACACCCCTCCATCACCAAATACAACCAACCCACTAATATCATATCTAACAGACCAAACCCACCGACATCATCGGCACCTCCCCGACCACCCGCTGCAGCATCCACCACTGGGCCACCCACGGCATCGCCAGCCGCGCCATCCTCCTCGACTACCGCCACTACGCCCTCACCCACTCCCTCCCCTACGACCCCTACACCACTCACCCCATCACCCTCTCCGCCCTGACCGCCTGCGCGCACTCCCAAGGCATCGATCTCCGCCCCGACGGAGCGAGACACCGTCGCCGCGCGCTCCCACGAACATCTCGCCTGGGCGGGTCTCAGCCAGGACGAAGACATGTTGGATTGGTTCCATGATTGTTATTTTGCTGCGGTGGCGGGGGATTCTCCCACGTTTGAGGCGTGGCCGCCCGCCACCGAAGGGGGGGGGGGGTATATCCATCAGCAGATTCTGGCGTGTTGGGGCATGCCCCTCGGTGAGATGTGGGATTTGGAACGGTTGAGTGTGAGGTGTAGGGAGTTGGGGAGGTGGGTGGTTTTTGTGACTAGTGCGCCGGGGAATGTGGTTTGTAGGTTTTCTCTTTTTCTTTCTTCCTAGTTGTTTTTCTTTGGGGGTGGGAGAAGACACAGTGCTGTTCTTGTTTGGTTGTCTGTCGCTCGTTCTATTTTGGGATGGTTGTGTTGGGGAGAAGGAACGAGAGTATGCGTCTTGATGATGGATCAGTGCTAACGGTTTCTTGAATATAGGAGGGGTGGGCTCTCATGCGAATGCGATGGCTATTCTGTAGATGTGATGTGGGCTGGGTGATCCTATCCAGGTGAGTAGGAGCTGATATCAATACTTCGGGCAATGAACTGGTAAGTAGGTGTTGCGGTGGATGCTATCTAATCCTTATGGTTACTTATGACTACTACGCAAACACGATGATAGCAAGAAACACTACAAGCTAAGTAGCAATAAAATCATGCATGTTCATTATGGTCATTAGTCGTGACGTTCATTAGTGAGGAACAATAGGAAATAGACATAGGAAATCACCTCCACCGCCATCTTCTCCCCTCTTCTATCCAAACAACCACGCACAGGATGACCAAGTAGACACAGATGTACCCAAGTCAACCTATGTTTGGATAGGTCCAATGCATCGTCTTCATCGTCATCATCGTCCTCGTTCTCATAATATGCTCTGGCCTACCAAGGCTGTGCCAATGCAATACTCAACCAACGCTAGCAAAGGTTAATTTAGAAAAAGTCTTCCGGCCACTGAAAACCATTGATCATTTCAACACCCTCTGGCTTTACTCCGGCCTCCGCCATAGCTTTGTTGCGCGCCTCGCGCTTCTTCACCATCTCCTTGGCCAGGCGGCGGTCGACCTTGGCTGCCGTGGCGGAGAGGTCCTTCGGGAGGGGCGGGACCGGAGGAATGTATTCGTAGCGGATGGGCTTCTTCTTAGTCGATGACGGGGAGGTGCCCTCATCCAGAGAGCTGAACGCTTGGGGCTCCTCGCTGCCATCGTCGGGGGGTGTTGGCGTGGTGGGACGGTTCTCTTTGTCGTGATCACCGTGCGACGGAATGGGCTCGCTGGTCCCCCGGAGGTCGGCGCGGCCCTTCTTCATGCGAAGGCTGGGTTGGGCGCGGTTGCACGAGTTCGAGGCTCGTCGTCGCCCGGACGGAGACCGCGTGCTTGCGGATCGGAGGGGCTGGGAGCGTCGTCGTCCGCGCTCTTCGCTTGGGGAGCGACCCGTGTCTTTGGATTGCTTCCGCTCGACAGAGCCGGGGCTGTCGCTGGTGAACATCTTCGGCAACTTAGCCCGTCGCGGGGTGGTCACCTCCTCAAAGTTGGCAGGCTGGTCGGAGTGAGGGGTCGGGTGCTTTGAGTCTGTCTGTGTGGCTTTCAGAGACTCTGGGTCGGGCGATTTCCGTTTGAGTGAGGGACTGTCTGCACTTAGGGAGGTTTGTCCGTGGCGTTCTTGGGGGAGTTTGGGCGTAGTATATGGCGTCCCGGCGAGTTCGTGCGGCCCGCTGCTGGGCTGGGGTGGTGCGCCTTGCTGCACACTCTCCGCCAGGGAGGTCAATGGGGCCGAGACAGCTCGAGGGGACGCTGGCGATACGGCCTCATTGTACAGCAGTCTCTCTGAGGGGAGTGAAGGGAGCGCCCCAGGGACAAATTTCCGGGGGTAGGGCCTTTCCACATAAGGGGTCGGTGCCAGCACCACCTCCTCGCCCACGAGTGCGCGCAGTTCTCGACGGGCCCGATCCAGCTTGATCTCCAGGTCGCTGACTCGCTTCATCAGCTTGGCCTGCCGTTGGAGCTCCTTGCGGGATTTCTGTCGTCGCACGGCGGACCCCTCCAGCTCCTCGAGGAACTTGCTGGAGTCTTGCCGTTTCACAAGCGGGATTCCCAAAGACGACTTGGCTTTACGCAGCTCCGAGCGAATCGGGCCTGCCAATTCTGTGATCTCGCCCGAATTCTGTCGCGAATGGCGCCCCGCGGGCCCATTTTCCATGCGCTCGGGTATCGGGTTCCACGACCGCTGAGGAGTATTTGACTCTGCATGCAGATTCTGCAAGTAGCTTCCCTTGACCGTCCCCTTGTAGCCCGACTTCTTCAGCTCGGCATATGCTTTCTCCGCCTGACTAAGAGGGTCGCCGGTCTGCTTGATGGCATCTGCAGGCGGCTTTGAGCCCCAGGCTCCAAATGGGTTGAACGCCGATGCGATCGCTTTCCCGAACCGGAAAATCCCCGAAGGCCGTTGGCCTGCGTGGTTCCGTGCGTCATCGCGCATGAAGATGCTCGGCGGTTTCTCGCTCACGCTGTCATTCATGCTTTCTTCGACAAACCGCGAACGTCGGCCACGGATGGATGGAACGGCCTGGCGCGCATACCGCAATGTCCGCGGCGAGCCATTGCTTTTGATGTTCGCCGTGTGGAACGGCTTGCGATATCCCGTCGTGATGCTACCGCTGGGGGTCTCCTTCGGGGGCGGCACATCATTGTCCGTGACGGTGTCCGGTGGCTGCAGCGGCCAGTCATTCGAGCGACGTCGTTTAGCCGAGTGAACCGATGGAGACCTGCTCTGGGCCGGGGCGTAGTCCAGCTCTTCTGCATCATCGAAGCGACCGGAAACGTCGGAGGAAAACCCGGAATCGAGGCTGGACTCGAGGCTGGAATCGCTAGGGTTGCGGGAGTGCTTGCGGAAGGGGGATTCGCGGGCAGCATGGTCGGCACACGTGGACTGCAGAGATTGCTCGAGCTGGCGGTCTGCCTCGAGAGGGTCGAGATCCATGGCGCTGTTGACGTCCACAGGACCCGAGGGTAACTGTCGATCGGGGAAAGATGTGTCAGGTCCGCTGCGCAAGGGACGGGAGACATCAGAGGCAGCAAGTAGGGAGGGACTCACCTCGGCCGCAGCTTCGCGATCCGTCATCCCGTCAGTCACGACGATCCACTCTTACAGGTCATCGGAGAAAGGAAGACTGAGCGGGAGAAAGAGCGAGACGTTGGGAGGAGAAGGGAAGGGAAGGGAAGGAAAGGAAAGGAAAGGAAAGCGAACAGACGGGGACACCCGAGTGGGGGCAAACGTGGTGATGGGTCGGTGGGTGACAGGTCGGGTCGAGATAGATAGAGAGATAGACAGATAGCGGTGAGAGACGGCGAGGATTGTTTGGATTGTTTACCCCGAGGTGGATGTTATTGTTTACTCCCCCCGCCGGAGTTCCTGGAAGTATGCGCCAAGCCGCGCCGCCTGGTTGGCGCGCCCGCCCACTCGCTTGGGTCGCTGGAACTCGGGTTTGACAGGTATGCTCCCTTGGCATGATGTGTGTACTCAAAGAATGCGCTGGTACGGAGTATACAATGGATAATGGAGTAAGTAATGGAGTATGAACCACCCCTCTATCTATTGGGCTGCAGATGCGCTGCGCCGCGGTTTCACAACATAAGACAATGGGCCCCGTCCAGAACCCCTTCAACCAAGGAAGGTGGCATTCCCCGGGTTGCACGAGGCCCGACAAACAATGGCGGAATATGTATAAACAGAATGCAAGGGGGAGAATCATATACAGAAACACAGCCAGAATAAGAAGGGCAAGGTGGTATAAACGTCAAGTCTGGTGTCATCAAAAATACCCCCGGGGACCTGATTCCCAGTCCCCATCCCCCAATCCCCCCAAGAAGAACAGAGAAGAGACCCAATGGGTCGACCATACGCCAAGACGCCCCCGTATATAAATGTGCCAAATACATCGCTTCAATGCTGTCGATTTCATGGAACCACTGGAGAGATTTTGGTGGCCATTCTCCCGTTGGCTCGGCGGTAGGCCATTTCGTCCCGGTTGTTGAGTACCGCCGCCCGGTGCACGTCCGACGGTCTACGGTCCATATTAGGGTAGTTGTCCGAGTCCGGGCGCATGCCGTTGTATAGGGGGCGTTCACTATGACCAAAGGCATCCTCGTGAGGTCGCTTCGATGACGCGGCCGTGCGGGTATCCCACAGGAATCCCCGCTGTTCACGGTTCGGAGCCGGGGCAATGTGAGTCGGTGGTTGAGGCGGGTTATTTGGATATTCAGCGGATATGGATGCGATGGGCGGGAGCGAAGGAGCTGGGTTCGAGGGGGTTTGTGCACGGGGTGCAAATGGATCCATAGCACGATACGTGGGAGGATCGGAACGATGCCACATGCGGATAGGTGGCAAGAGCTTGGGGTACTCAGACCGTTCGGCCGGCAGTCGAGAAGGTGGAGGACAGCCCGAAGGTGCTGACTCGGACTCTGTGCTGGTCGACGGGTTTCTGGTGTGGGAATACTGCGGATGAGGAGAGTAAACTTGGGTGGGCGTGGTTGCCGACTGAGGAGTTCCGGGTAGCTGCGGGGCTGAATATTGGGTCCGCGTCGCGCCGAACGAAAGATGTGAAGTGTAGGAGGAGCTGCGAGACGAAGGCGCGATCGGGGCAACTGGGGTTGGGGTTGAGGATGGCGGAGGGGCAGGCGCAGGCGGGACCGGGCGCGGATACGTCTGAGCACTCGGGAAGCCGTACTCAGTTGCAGATAGCCGGCGGGGAGCCTCGCCCCCGTAGGACGAAGCAGGGCCAACGGAACCAATGCTGGTGGATCGAGGACGCTCAACAGGGTTCGAGTAAGCGTCAGGAACCGAACCACGATCTGGGAGAGGGCCGCGGTAGGATCTATCATCGTCAAAGTCATAGTCGTCGGAGCGCTTGTCTCCCCGTCGTCTCATCCGGACATCCCGCCTGATGCGGACTCGGCAACCTTGCTCTGCAATGACCCGGCTCAGGGAGGTGCTCGTGGTCAATCCAGGGAATTTCTTGGCGCTGAACACCGTAAAGGGGACGGAGACGACTTCGAGACGGAAATTCAAGAACGACTTAGGTGCCGAGGGCTTGGAGCCCGCCTTCATCATGGGTGATGGAATCGGAGCCCCCTCATCCGCATCCTTGCTGTCCTTGGTCTCCTCGTACAAGTGGAAGTTCAACCGGTAGACACCCTCGTGCCGAACAGAGAGGTCGGGGAAAATGAAGTATCCAGCCGGGACCGGACGATCCAAGTATGCCACGCCTGCCACCGGGACGCCTGTGAGAACTGGGCATGTCGGGGGCGGAGCAAGCCGTCCTTGTGCCATCGGCCGAGCCGTATCTAGCGTAGCGAACAGAAAGAAATTTGCGTTGTAGGCGAAGGTGATGTCTGTCTTGTGCCGGTCATCCTTCGGGTCGGACTCGTAGATATGTAACTCGACAACCGGTGGAGGATCAACAGGACGACGGTCCGCAGACGCTGCCAACGGTCAAACATGGTCAGTCTCATCTCAAATCATGTCCACATTGCATGCGGGGATGGCTGCGTACATTTGGCGCCTGCACCGCATGCTCGTGCACGTTCGGGTTGTTGGGTGATTTTGAGGTAGTAGGTGATCTTCTTTCCATCGCGAGTGATCCGGCTGGCGGTATGCTCTGTCTCATTGACCGGGGGCGAAAGGGGAGGTCTAGTAGCCATATTGTACAAGGAGCTCAAACAACCTGCTGGAAAATTAGCATCCCAACCACCAACCGGTGTACTCCCCGCAGCGGAAGGAATATGGAACCTGCTGCCCAACCCGACCAGATGAGGACTCACTAGGTATAGAATTGGAAAAAGATTAATATCAAAGCATGCATCGAAAGGCCGTGCAATACTTGTGGAGAGCGGGTCTCGTCCGCTTCCTGCACCTGTATCCCGACGCGACCGAGAGTGAAATCTATGAACCGATCCGGCGGTTGACAGACACCGACGAGAAGAAAATTTGGCGAGTGGAGAAAGATGCGATGGACCGAGATCTGTCGCAGGCGTTAAACGACGGCAGCAAGTAGCATTTGTTTGTGTCCGACCGGGAGAATGGGGAGGGTAAAATCAAGCGGCGACGGCGAGGCAGAGCGTGGGTCTGTCGTGGGACGGATAGACGACAGACAGAACGATCGAGAGCCCAGCAATTGACCCCTGCGGGCGATGGAGGGAAGAAGGGAAAGGGAAAGGGAGGGGAGGAGAATTGGGGATGAACACGATCAGATGAATGGAGGGAAGGATGATGAGATGAGGATGCCACCACGAAGACCGGCGTGACCGACCGGCAGACGAGGGGAGGAAGAGAGCCAGAGAGGGTGGAAGAGTCAGCCGTAACGACGGTCGAAGGCAGATGCGCTATAGCGACTATACCTACCGTGGGCCACTGGGCCAGAGGCGCCCACCCACCCTTCCCTCTGGGTAAGACGGGCCCGACGGCCGGGGTGTAATTGGGTAAAATTACCTGGCTCGCCGGACGGCCCACCCTTTGGCCCTGGTTCTTCACCACCTTCAATTTCCAGTTTCTTCGTTGCGTCGTTGCTCCATGGGAGCTTATTCCGTTTAGTCGGAATACTTCCGACAACGTCATGAGAGAATACTAAAATGAGGATCCAACTAATTTACCTTGTCATTAGTGATCGGAATGGGCATATGTCGGTCTCATACTATGGACTATGGATGAACTTGCATACGGAGTCGAGTACCCGGTCACCACCGACTAACTAGATACTGACCTACTCAAAGTCCTCAGTGTACCCACTGCGAGGGAATCTGCACTACTGAGCCGGAGGGGTGGGTACTGGGTCGGACTGGAAAGGAGATGAAGCCAGAAGAGGGGAAGCCAGCCGGCCGATCCACTGGGAGAGGCCATGCCCATGCTTTAGCCCGGCCTAGGGCAGCGGTAAACTTCAACTATGGGACATTGCAATCGCAACTGCGACCGGTCCTGCCATCTTCGAACGAGGAAGATTATTACTGGAATTTCCGTTTGACTTTGCAGACAGGAAAAATTCAATTTTAGAAATTTGGAACGAAAAAAAAGCTAATAAGCATGATAGGGGAAAAAAAAATAAAATAAAAATAAAAATAAAAAACCAATTCTATCTACGGTATCATATACAATTACAATCCCTCCAAGCAGTGGGTTGGACTCTGGGGGCTTGCCGGCCGGGCGGGGGTCAAGGCCCGTGATCTCAGAGACAGGCACGACGTGCATTTGGATGGAGCGGTAGTATACGAGAACGCCGATGCTCCATTGCACCAGTGAAGAGCACTCACGGATCCCAGACTCCCTGCTCGGATCTTCGTCAAGAAATTACAGAGTACTACTAAGCCTTCGCCAGTACGAGGGACTAGTTAGCGACCCAACAGATTAGTGAGCTGCCATTGTTGATAAGCGACGCAATATGAATGGGCCAAACCTAATCGAGGCGGAGTTTCTAAACCGAAGACGGACTAGGGGATTGTGTCGGAATACTGCCACTCGCAAGCCCTCCAGGGGGGAAGGACCGGAGGCGATCGCAGGTCGAAACGGAAGGTGATGTTCTGGCGGACGCCTCGTTTCCAAATCGATGCTCATCCGGACACTGCTATTGGATTCTTCCTGATAGTCGGTCGATGAGATCTGTCGGCATGGAGATGAGTCCCTCACTTAGTAAGGCACTTACTTCACCTATATTTAGGTGGCGCTGCAGCTCGGGATTTGCTCTTCGGGATTGATCAGTAAATTATCCTGGACGATAGACACTAGATCGATAGGGATTAGTCCTTTCTGTGCAAGGCATCGTCAGCTGGCATGTCCGGCACGGCGTAATATTAACCGCAGGGTTGGTAACCCACCGGATTTCGATCCTGGGGAGGGGGGCGCTCATGACGGATCATTGGATTCCGGCAACCCTTCACATGAGACAAGTGCTTACCCGACTGCCTCCCACCCCTGTAGGTCACGTATAACACGGTGTATTATTGGGCTCGCAATACCCAGTCCAGCGGGCCGGTTGCTTATCCCAGATGCCTGGGAACAAGAAAGGATTTTTGAAGGATAGCGGGGTTGGTCCATGCACCCTTTGTCTTCTTCTTCTTCTTCTTCTTCTTCTTCTTCTTCTTCTTCTTCTTCTCAAGCCTTCACAGTTCACTAGTCACCACCCTACAGCTTGGGCGCTGCTGCGCCTTGCGGCTAATCGTTTTGGCGGACTGGTATGGAGGGTTGCCCGATTTGTCAGGTTGGAATTTGTACTCCGTACTAGCATTTGAAATTATGCTCCGTTTTAATGCTGTTATGTGCCGGTGTGATCTCGTGGATTTAATATTGATAGCAATAATCGTGTTCTATTTGCTTACTTGGCCCAAAGCGGTCTGTCACTGGACTTCGAGAACGATGGCACCATTTTTGAGTTTGGCTACATCGTCAGGCTGTGTACGTGCTTCGGGCCTGGGGGCCAATTGTCTCGAGGCAGGAGATATTAATCTTCCCTGCACCGAGTGAGACGGTCGTCCAAGGGCATTGGGGGTTGTACCCGGAGTGCCGCCGTACTTTGGTACCAAATTAGGGCTGGCCACATGCGAACTACGCCGTGATGTCTGGTGGAGAGCCCGTAAGTAAGCGTGATTTCCGGTACCGGCCGAAGCAAAACCAAACAACCCGAGAGAAGCAAATCTGGCACCGATCGAAGCACTGACGATCTTAACCGAAAACTACAGGAGCCGGGGGGGAGGAAGTGCAATCCTGTCGCGCCCCCCTCTCTCCAAATGAAATTGGATCCGCAACAGTCACCTCGAGCAGAACTGAAGTCTGGCGGGGGGGGGGGGGGGAAGAAGATTCAGGGATCCCTCCTTAGGAGGTCGTCAGCTCGACGATGGCGCTGCCAGCCCCATCCCTGAAGTGGCATCCTTGGTCCTTCAGGTAATTTAGCCTAGCCTTATGAGCCTAGCGCCCCCAGGCCCATCTAGGCCATGGTCCTGCCCACTCGAGGATGGCATCGAGGCTGCTGAACGAATCGAACCGGGGGACTCCCCACCCCCAATTCCCACCAGCGGCATGATTGGAGGAGGACGACCCAATGGCACCCTCAACACCCGAGCATCAGGCGCCGGCTTTGCCTGGTCCGTCCCCCCGGTTGGCCTTGACTCATTGGCGAGCGCCGAGGATGGTGGAAGTGGAAGGTTTCATTCTGCCCCACCCCGACGGTCCGCACCGAATGAGGCGGCCCCATTCCACCCAGATTGACAGTTTGGTTCAGCAGCTTGATGCTCGGGCCTGTTCTCCGGTGAGACTTGAGCTATCTCGAAGCAATGTAGCAATGAAGCATGAAGCATGAAGCATGAAGCATGAACCAAAGGAGGTATCGCCGCCAGTCTGTCAAGTCGGCCAGCAACGTCGTACATATCGCACTAGCAGGACTGCAGCATGAGCCTTTGCCTTGTCCAAGTAGAAGTCCTCGCGTATGCAGCATGCACATACTTGGGATCCATCGATGACATCCTCCAGTTCCAGCCGATGTTTACCCTAACGAAGCATGTCTCGGTTTCTCAGGGGTCGTGATAAGTTGCGGGATAACGGCGAGGGACTCCTCGTGTACAGTGTACCTGGTGCTACCAAGTTAGACTCTTAGACTCCTACTGCATTTGACTTAGAGGGGATTCCAGGGCCCACAGCGCACCTTCCCCGGCTGACTATCGCCCCTGCCTGTCGGGCGGGACTCTCAAAGGGGAGTTTTCTCCGGAAGATCTTCGTGTCAATCCCTCCCCCGAAGCCCTCATTCATCTCATCGGCGCGATAATCCTAATGAGATAGTCAGGCCCCGTTATGAGAAGATCCAGTTTGAATCATGTCGAGCTCCTTACACTACGCCTGGCTAGGAATTAGGATGTGCCGAAACTGACGATGACAGCTAGTGATCACCACTTGCGTCAATGGCCCTAGATCATCGATGGCGTACGTCTCCTGGGGAGCTAGCCGGCTGGTATGACCGGATGGTATGTGCCTCTGCCTCACGGCCTGGAGCTATCTACGTGTCCCTCTGGGCCACCGTTGTCCTACCGAATCGTACCGGTGCTTACGTGCAGCAGAGCCATGGAACCACCACCTCAGCGACCGATTCCGCATGGGTTCCAGAAAACTGTCAGATCCAATGCATAGCACTAGACCGACCTCAAAGTTTGCGATTGACGTGTCCATACAGGCTTACCGACGTTTGCAATCGAGGCAACGAGGGTCTCCAGTACCGTGAATCCGGCGATGCCATTCCTTGGGTCGGGATGACCAGGGTGCATCCGCTGGTGTTTGCGCTATCGAGCAACATTGCCCAGTAACCACCCTGTCGGGTCTACCCGCATGGATCTTCCTGGTCGGGCTGCTGGATCATGGGCGGTGGTGAAATTCCGGTATTTGAGAGACGTAAGTAAGGTGGTCAGTAGGGAGGAGAAGTACTAAGAGCGGAGAAGGAGAAAGGAGGAGGAGGAGGAGGTGGTGGTGGTGGTGGAGGAGGAACGATCGGGCACATTCTTGATTCATTCGATTTCATGAATCTCCTCCCCAGGTCACGCTAACCCGGCTGGGGCCCGGGCTCCGTCCGATGTGGCAACCATCATTCATCAATACCACCTCACCACACCACCTCCTACTTTATTTGCTCGACTCCGTGTCTATACGGGGCCAGCGTGGGTGAGCCCGAGTCGGCCAGGCGGCGACCCTCGGTCTTAAGTAACCGCGCTTGTACAACCCTCATTGTTGAGGAGATTTCGGGGATTAACTGCTGTCGACTGTCCTCCCCAAAGTGAGTGGTTGGCAGACGGCTGCATTCCTCGCATCTGCGCAAGTCTTATCCCTGTTCATTAACCCCATCGATCGTGGCCGAGCCATCTCACACACTCAGCCAGGTCCACGGGGGCTTTCCATTGGTCCTTGATCGATGCCTCGGGTCAATATACTACGGAGTACGGGCTCCTCACTAGGCAAATCAGCTCATCAACTGGCGGTGGGATCGCAGTGGCGGTGCGATCACTTCCTCCCCCACGATTACCTTTCGGGGACCATCTGCATAAGTCCATCCAGCCCTGTGCCACACGAGAATTTGTCAACCAGTACGGAGTAAGTCCCAATCTTCTCCTCTCTTCGGGGCATCATGCAGGACATATGGTTGTCTTGACCACCGTCCAGCCATGCACTCTGTCTACTGCTACCGATTGTCTACGATCAACTTGACTTCTTTATCCATCTCTCTCGCCATGTCCCATCCCGGCATATCCTTGCGCAGATCCTCATTACCGACCCCCCTCCGTGGCTGGACGATAGTTTGCCAATATACATACGTACTCAAGTATAATAGCTGATCATAAGGGCGCTCTTTCTCTCGCTCTCGGTCTGTATCCATTCGGTAGAGGGAGAGTTTCGCCTCCTATTACGGATCCCTCATACATAACCAGTAAGTACCGTATCTGCCAAGCACCAACCCCATCGTAGAAAGCCAACAGCGCGCACATCAGCCCCTCCACTCTCCACAACGGAAGAAATAGTTTATCTATCACGCTGTCAGAAAATTGAGCACGGAGCTACCTACATACTCTACTTGAGTAGCTGACTAGTGACAAGCTACGAGCTGACTAGTCTGATTCGGTTCTAGCTGACCGTTATTCTTTTTCCCAGGGTACGGGGCGACGCGGTGTATCCCAGCCAGGCCCGGATGTGATGCATCAACTCCCCTCGTATTTTCGGGACGGGATCAGGGGCGGGGCCTTTGCGACTCCGGTTGTTTGTCCATGGCCAATTGGGGTGGTGGGACGGCAAACGATGCTTCGTATCATCGATAAATGGGGTTAGAGGGAGTGTTGAGCACGGAGACTATCCACTGATCAAGGTCTGCGACGTAGGTTGGTAGCACCGTCGGTGGTTCTCTTTTTCCTGGGCCGCCGTTGAGCTTGGGCTCGGACGCGGATGCTCGATCGTCTGTGCGTACCTACGCGGGCGGTCCCATAACCTGGGGTGGGTTGGTGCGGTGATAATGCATATGGGTTGTCTCCTTAGTCCTTTGCTCTTGCATAGGGGCACCAACCGACGTCATCTTCAGAAATAAGGGAACCGCAGGTAGTCCAGACCTCGTCGATTTCCTCGGCGCCCACTAGATTAGGTTAGACAACTCTAGATAGTACGGCTATAGGTCGGGGGTCCGGATTTCGGACTCAATTGTGCTAGAGGGCTGGAAAGAGCAACCATGGTGGAAGTCTCTTCCACCAATGAGATGATTATTTTGACTCGATTAGAGGTACGAAACTTGGGGCTCTTCCGGGCCCTGTTCTTCGGCCGTGGTCTTCAGGCTTTGCTCGGAGGTGATGTCTCTTTCTTGGGCCTGCGCATAAGGTGGGGGGGATGTTCATCTGGCTGAAGAGGTATATTATCTTTCGTTATAGGTGTAGTTGCCTTGCTCTTGGTCAGACTCCATAGTCCGAGGAGCAAGGTACCCATCGCTGCATAATTTCCAGCCTCAATTGACCCCAAGGCGCGACCAATGATTCATGCTAACGGCCTTATCAACAGCCAGCCTTTGGCCAAGCTTAGTAACCCCGATGCCCCGATTATTCTGTAAAGGTGCATCCTTGTAGTTTCCCTTGCTGAAAATAGTCGATCCTAGGCCTCATTTAGGGCACCCTGCTGAGGCAGCGATATCAGGTTGGAAATTAGAGTTAGATATTCTCCAAGCGCTGGTTCTGCAGGAATTGAGGATATGACCTCCTGAGCATGAGTCAGGTTGGCATTCCCGGAGATGTTGCCAAAATTGGGATTATGCAATGGCCCATCATATATTGGGGACCAAAGTAGTTCCAGGCTGTCGTAAATGTCCTTTCTGAGCTTTCCCATTGCTGGATCTACTGTGTGCATGCCAGCTCAGTAGGTAGTAAATGATCACCATGGATCATTATCTCATGTCTGCTAGTCAACAATGACGAGATCATATGAAGTCCTAACATACCTCATGACATATAGCCCTTACCTTTCGGACTTAAGCCTCGTCCGTCCGATATCCGATTAGGGCCGTCATCGCCGTGGCTTATCCTTGCCTACCCCAGAATCACCACACCGGATATTTTGAGCTCCTGACGCAAGGAGCAATGACCACATTTCCATTCGGCTCTCGGTAATGTCCGTCGCTATTGATATGCTATCGCTATGCTGAAGGGTTGTTCACTATTTACGCTTGCTCGGTACGTTCATCCGAGGTGCAACATGTGGCTGCACACAGGGTTCATGCCCTTGCTTCTTCCACGGCGTGAGTCGGTCCAAGGGTTTCGGCTCAGAATCCGGCACCTACACACTCGTCTAGCAGACGAATGACAAATGGACTTGCGTGTAGGTCGTGTACATATATCTTGAGAAGTATGGGGTTGATAGGTATGCATGTTTGCGTCAGGTGCATGATAGGGGCTGGTACCTCCCGAAAAGGAAGAGCAATCCTTAGTGCCTACCTGATTGCTAGTGTGTCCGATGATGGCCAGCGTGCTGTTCCCGTTATCACCGGACGCCTGGCCGAGACTTAGCACAAGTATGCAGCTGATGTGGTATGTCGCTGTCCAGAAAAGACGGCACTGTTGGCTGCTCAGGTGGGAAGCTAAGCCATTGGTGCTTCTCGGATTCGCCCTTGGCCGCTCACTTCCTTGAGTAGAAGATGCATAATCTTGTGACTGGGCTTTAGATGATTGTTAGGATTCAAGGCTCCTGACCGAAACTGCCAGCACACTGACGATCCCTGCTCCTAATCAGCCGTCGAGACAACGCAGTTAGACCGGTTTGTTTCCTACCTAGGTTTCCTAGTCACAACGCTGAATCTCAAGGCATTTCTGTTCACTCCTTGATTCGCAGGGTCATTTCAAGCGTACCTCGAGGGCGCCGGGACCGATGCTGATTGGTGTGGACGCATTGCAATAGTCGCTCTTAGGATGTCTAGGATGAGCCCCATGCATCAGCACCACACACTTGTTTAGCATGAGTATTGCGCTCACCTAAGTACACTATGAACCGTGCTAATACTTATGTATTCCTCGTAACAACACGGATGGATACGCCTGAGATCATGAATGGTCCTGTTGGCGCGGTATTCACGATCTTTGCTGCAACTTCCTACAAGCAAACTAAAATCGCTCAAGCACAATTGATTAATTACGAGCAGTGTTCTAAAGCAGGTAACGCAAGGTTCAGGAAGAACAAACCTGGTTGAAGCAGCTATAGGCCGGTGGTCGGTACGGTTCTGAGCGGTCGATGGCCTTCAGCATCCTGGCGTCAAGTGACGGTGACGGCTCAGCCAGCCAGTGGCATCTATACTTTTTGGCGTAACTCTAGCTAGACATGACCAAGCAGGAAGTGATATATGCCGCCACCAAGTTGTATACGTACCCGGTATTCTCTAAGTCGCATCATCTCACTAGATATGAAAGGAGGGCTCCAGAGTCTCACTATCAGAAAGGTCTGCAAAGGTAGACATCGTAGTGATTCAAGAATCCCCGATGAGCAGGCTCTTGCTGTGATAGGCATGGTGGTGATCTCACATCAATGTGCTGATCAACGGACGTGGGCTTAATATATATCTCACTTGAGGGCAGAGAATGGGAAAAAAGGAGGGACATCCACAATGTATTTCGGTGAATGGTCACTCGAAGAGCCAGATGTAGCCTTTATTCTGACAGAAAATCACCTTGACCCGTTCTACAGATCATCCAGAGAGTAAAGATGGAGGAGTGGCGGACCGACATGAAGACTGAAGGAAGGAGCCCCAGCCGGGGGGAGCACGTGCGTCCGCGTTTTCTCCGCGTCGCCCACGGGAAGACCGAGTCTCGATCTCGTCCTCCTCGACCTCCACGCTTATGGATCTTTTGTCGGTCCTTCCGGACTTCCCCACTAAACCTTACGCTCATATAATCCCGCCTCTCGAGAGAAGTCACATAACCACTGTCGATTTGATTACCCTCGATACCCTTGAAGTCGCTAAACGTGCTCGTGTTCCTCCAGCCGACGTCCGCCGACTGTCCGCCCAGATCATCAGGGCACTCCACCATGACGTCGGTTTCGAAGAGAACAAGGATCCAGATGCTGATGAGCCCAGCTCCAGCCTCAGTATCGACGTTCCTGTCTTGCCGGGTCCGACGACCAGGCTAGATATCTCGCAGTGGAATGCGATAAGCACGCTCGACCCCACGTTGGATGCTCTGCTCGATGGCGGGATACCGACCGGTTATCTGACGGAAGTGACTGGTGAGAGGTGTGTACTCTGGCTTCTCCAAAAGTAATTGGCTAAGGGGCTAACAAGTTACAGTGGAAGTGGCAAGACTCAGTTTCTTCTCACCCTTCTCCTGGCCACCCAGCTTCCTGTGCCTAGCGGCCTAGCGAAGCGTGCCATATACATCTCCACAGAAGCCCCGTTATCGACACCACGGCTTTCGCAGCTCATCGAATCCCACCCATATCTCTCCGCCTTGTCTCAAGCTCAAGCTCCTTCGCTGGAAAATATTTTGTCCATCAATGCCATGGACCTCGAGACCCAAGATCACATCCTCAACTACCAGCTTCCCGTCGCAATCAAGCGATACAACGTTGGACTTGTGGTCATTGACTCCATAACCGCCAACTACAGAGCAGAACATGTGTCGCATAATCTATCGGGCTTGTCCACACGCTCCGGTGAGCTTGCCAGGCTAGGCCAGATGCTGAGGAACTTGGCTGTGAACGAGGATATTGCAATTGTGGTCGCAAATCAAGTCTCTGATCGGATTGAAGCTGCTGGTGGTCATCCAACCTTACTCCGTCCAGGTGGTGGTGCTATTTCACCTATCCCTTCTACGCAGCAGCAAGCATTGCCGTCACATCCTGAGTCAGGAGTTGCGACACCGTTACCTCGAAGCCGACCTCTCGAATCACGAAATGTCGAGCTGACCCCACATAATCCGATCTTTCCATCCTCGCCATCTAGTTTTGCCTCGTCACCATATCCTGCCGAGGATGACCCGCAACAGCAGCCGTTCGACGGGTCGTACCTGATTGGTAACCCTGTTCGAAATGAGATCTTGAGTCTTTTACACCAGCAGCGGTTCTTCACCGGTTGGGGTGACACGCTACAGACAACATCAAGCTTCTACCCAGCTCTTCAACAGTCCTCACAGAAGACCCCAACGCTGGGTTTGGTTTGGTCTACCCAGATTGCATGTCGGATTGCGCTGAAAAAGGAGAGCCGCTCTGTGGATTGGGAGGCCATTCTCCAGGATACCTTTGTGTCTAGCGAGCAGCAATTGCTGCCTACAGAGGGAAGTGAAACCAACGACCCTCCGGCTACCCCCGACAGAAATGACCAGGTCAACGAGCCCGATGCTCTAAATACTATATGCCGCACAACGCGAACAAAACACTCCCCATTAGCCCCCCAACAAACAGTCACACGGGGCGTACGGAGAACCATGAAGCTCGTATTTGCCCCCTGGACTGCAGGGCCAGTCACAGAGCAAGGTCAAATCCAAGACGAAGCGGAGTTTGAAATCTGGAAGGGCGGGTTAAGAGGCTGTACAGAGGATTTTGACACGATCTAATGCTAGATATCCCCCGACATGATTAACGGCTGATATAATCTTTACTTCCCTTCTCTTCCTTGTAACTTCCTACGGACCCCTCAACCTAATCTAATCCCCAGCCAAGCTATCAGGGTTGCAAAGTCGCCCTCCATTCCGGGACTAGCGTCTGTTTTCGGCGTCTGGCGGAACTGGCGCCCCCGCAGTTGGCATTTCTTCACCAACCCAAGGTTAAGCTCTTCCTTGACTTCCCACGCGCCCCTTCCCCATCTTTCCCTCCGACCTTAATTTTATGCTTATTGCTTACTTCCTTAGTCTGATCTTGATCGGACATTTGTTGTTGTTTTGATCGATGCTGTGGGGCTGGTCTGTGTGTCTGTCAAGTGTCAGATGTCAAGTTCAGCATGGCATTGGCATTGGATCTCAATTCATCAGTCAGCTCCGTCGTATCATACGATATCGTCTTGGATATGATGGAAAGTTCACGAGATGTACGAATTGATGAAATCGACGGGATCTATATATCATCGTGAAAGGAAGGAGAGAGAAGAAATCGCAAAGAAACACCTCCCCGGATTAATAGTGGACGATTAAATCAGACATGATGGCCTTTTTTTACATCAGAATCTTACCCCTTTTCCGTATACGCCTTCAGCTCGAATTCAACTCGCGGTTACTCTATGATAAAGCAAAGAGTGTCATATCGTGGCCATGTCGATCCTGCGAGAGCACCACGAGATGCGAAAGAAACGAAAGAAGAGAAGAAAAAAGAATTCCAAAAAATCACTCGATCTATGTACGACAGAAATGCTCTATTTCGCAAGCTTGGCAGGGGGAACTCCGATGCCGTTGGTGTTACGGTAGAAAAGCACTCCGGAGCTTTCGCCCTTGGCGCCCTCAGTGGGCTCAACCCAGTGGCACACACGGGCGCTGGTCCAGAGAGCCTTGAAGAATCCGGTCCAACCGGTGTGGGCCTCGGTGCGGTAGTGGGAGCCCATGACCTTCTTGATGGCCTCGCTCGCCTCATCAGCGTGGTAGAAGGGAATGGTGCTGACATAGTGGTGCAGAACGTGAGTCTCAATGATTCCGTGGAGAATGTGACGACCAACGAAGCCGAAATCACGGTCGATGGTGGCAGCGGCACCACGGGCGAAGTTCCAGACTTCAGGCTGGTAGTGGGGCAGGGTGGGGTCGGTGTGCTGGAGGTAGGTGATAGCGACTACAGTTCTCTTGGTCAGCCAAATTTCAAAAAGGTATCGGAAGGAAAATAACATACCAAGCCAGTGGTTCACCCAGAGATAGGGGATACCGTACCAGACCAGAAGGTTCATCCAGCCGTACTTGGAGCCGATCAGGTACAGAATGCTTCCGACAATGGCAAGACCCAGGTCGCTCAGGGCGATGAGCTTAGCATCCTTGGCCTCGTACAGGGGGCTAGACGGGTTGAAGTGGTTGACGCCGCCAAAGTAGCCGTTCTGCTTGCCCTTTCCACGGCCTTCGGGCTGACGCTCATGGTTGTTGTGGCCGGTGACGTTGGTGAACAGGTACATGGGCCAACCGAACAGCTGCTGGAGGATCAAGTTGAGGGCAGTGGCAATGGGAGTCTCCTCCATCAACTCGTTCAGCTCGTGGACAGCCTTGCCGACGCGAGAGGCGTACTGATCCCGGGTCTTGGGGACGAACACCATGTCACGGGCGATGTTGCCGGTAGCCTTGTGGTGCTTTCCGTGCGAGATCTTCCAGGAGAAGTAGGGCACCAGGAGAGCAGAGTGGCAGATCCAGCCAACAGTGTCGTTCAGAACCTTGGAGGGAGAGAAGGCCTGGTGGCCGCACTCGTGAGCCAAGACCCAGACACCGGTACCGAACAATCCCTGCAGAACGGTGTAGAGAGCCCACAGCACGACTCTCGCGGGCTTATAAGGAACGGTCTCGGGAGTCACGTAGTTGTGGAAGACATAGAAGATGGTGGCGAGCCAGAAGACGTCCCGGAACACGTACCACAAGCTGGTGAGGGCTTTCCGCTCATAGCAGTGAGCGGGGATGGCATCACGGATCTGCTTGATGGTGTAGTCCGGGATCTGGAATTCGTTGCCATAGGTGTCCAGCATCTTGCTATTCTCCTCAGCCTCAGACGCCAACGACGACAGAGAGGTGGAAGAGGGCGACTGGCGAGGGCTGTCCAAAGGAGAGGGGGTGACGGAGCTGGGGACGGAGGAATCCGTAGCATTGCGGTGCAGCGCAACGCGCTTGGGGAGAGCTGTGGAAGACATTCTGAAGCTTGTCCAAGGGGTCTTTCGAGCTCGAAGACGACGAGGGCTAGAGGGTGACAGCTACGTTAGCCAATGCAATTTGTGTGATGCGCGGGAACAAAGGCATCTCCTTGTCTCGAGTGACACGACCCGTGCAGAGGACCACGCCGGCGAATTGCAACATACCAAAGGATCAGGACACGACGCCAAAGCTATACCAGCTCAAGGTAGTCACTGGACGGAGTGAGCTCCCAGACAGCGAGGGAGGGAGGCAGGACGGGGTCGAAGGGAGAGGAGGAAGGTGGTAAGGTGACAATGGGAAGGATATAAATGGTCGCCTCCAGAAAGCCTTGGCCGGAGAGAAGTGGGACGGGGGGTGGAAGAAAAGGGCAGGCGAGGAGAGGCAAAAAGAGTGAAAGAAAAATAAGGCCGATTGTTTGATGATCAGCTGTTCCGCGACGAGCAGAACCCGGGGGAGAGAGAGAGAAGGGGGGCGCTGGGCGAAGGCGAGGGCCAAACAGAAAAAAAAAATTGCAAAAGAGGAAAAGGCAAGGGGAAAAAAAAGCGCATGAACTCAAAGAACGCGGGTTGATTGGGGAGAAACTGAATTTCCAGTGCAGTCGGAGAAGAAGCCCAGAAGAAAGTCATCCAGACATCTCCCGATCTGGATGCAGGCCCGCCGCCCCTGGGCTGGTATTTTGCCGTCTTTTCGCGTTACGGCGGATCTCCCGTGAAAAGTTGGTATTGGTGGGTCCCTCGCCATTGGCCGGGAGGCTTCCTTCCAATACGGAACGGCGTCCCGACTTGCGCGAATCTTACGGCAGATTCCGTTTACATACACACGACTTGATGCCTTCTTTATTCTGACTTTGCAGGCCAGTCGGCGCTTACTGGATCTCGGCGCTGATAGGCATTTGTTTGACATGCCCTACGGAATACTGTGCAGACGACCCTCCAATGACTTGATCGACCAGGTTGACCTTCTTTGCTCGGGACAGACTGGACTCATGTCTGGGGTGGATGCACTGAGCCGAGGTCGACGCTGGGCCTATGGCTTGCCCAAGCTGCATGACCGACCCAGCTGGCCGGCCGCATGCCTATGAACGCGGGTTCCTTCTGAGTTTCGGGCCATCCGTGACTGGTTGACTCGAAGAGACGCCACCGGCTAGGCTTGCAGCTGGAAACATGCGGCTGATTGGTACGACGCGAGCGAAGAGATACTGTCGTTGCATTCCGGGGTGTGCTGACAACGGCGCGCCTGAGGGATTATTCTTTGCCCCTGGGGGAGTCCTCCACGGCCTGGGCTCACCGCACAGGAGAAGATCATAAGATGCAGGATTTTGGACCTGGAGGATATCCCTTCCAGCCTACCAACCATGTGGCTGGGTATTGAAAAATACCCACGTTCCAGAAGACGGCGAACGGGTTACCAGGGACCATGAACCGGGGAGGCTCACCGCCCCGCTGGACCCAATGGGAGGAAGTGGCTGGGCCCCACCGCCGGGTAAGAGGGAAATTTGGCTTCTCAACAATCTTGGCACCTTCTTTCCTCGGGCGGTGGGACTCTGAGAATTTGAGAATGGAGACTCCATCAGCCTTTCCACATCGGATTATTTTTACCGTTCCCCCTTCTCAACTCTCCCTCCGAGGTGTCATATGCCACCACACCGGGCTCTGCCTGAGACGTAATGGGTCGGAGATGATTCGGGCATCTTATCAGAAAAGACATCCCGGGTTGCCTGCCATGTACGGAGGAGGGATCTTCCCTCCAGTTCAGCTCTGAGCTCTCACACCTCCAGGGGCATAGCCATAGGGATTGCCCTGACACGATAATAGATAACCAGGCGCCTCCTTCACATGCCATCCATCGAGATCCGATCCCGCCAATCAACCACCCCTCGAGGACGCCAGATCTCACACCCCAATGCGTACACTTACAGTTACCCCGAATCCACTCAGTACGGATCATCGACTTCGCTCTTGACTTGACCAACCCCCCAAACCCATGTGATTTGCCCAGCATGCAGGAGTCCACGTACTTTTAAGTAGATAGTCAGTCGGCACCAGAATGCCAATCGCATTTCAGTGGAGCCAGCAACACACTCCCAGTCCCAGATCCCAAAGGATCAAAGTAACACATACTACATACTAAACGAATTACTACGGCAGGATATAGATACATCCTATGTAGTATGATTGGAATGGCCCTAAAGCGCGGGTATGGAAAAACTTTAACGACAAACTTGCCACCATCAGGGCCACCCGGTATTGCGAAATACTCATTAGGGTACTTTAGGGTAAAACAAATCTGTGATCTTTTGTCTAGAACTTGGAGATAAGTTTGAATGCATGTGATTGATTGCTTGCGATTGTTTGATTGATTGATACATGGGTACTGGGTAGTGTCTAGTCTTCCCCAACTATCTTCCCCTAGTCAGAGTATCTATCTCCATACTTTCTCCCCCCTGCTACATTTTACCTATACCCTCTCAATCTCTTACTTATGAAAAAGAAAGGAATAGAGAAAGAAGATATATCTCAATTGAACAATAACTACAGACCTGATCAAATCCCCTACCCAAAACCCCCAGAACTCCCAAGTACCTACAAGAAAGGAAAAAGTACAAGAGTCAGCATCTGTTGGGACACCCACCAAAAATGTTGAGATTGGGTCCCGGTGGGGCTGGCTGATCGGGACAGGGATGATGGGGCGGCGGGTGAGCATGTCAATCAATTACCGACTCATGAACCACCCCTACCGTTAGGATGGAGGGAAGGGTGTATTCGGGACGTAATTTGGAGGGGGTTTACCCGGGGGGTTCAGGGTGGTATGTATGTATTGTATGTATGATGGAAATTTTCATTTAGATGATAGTGCTCGATGGGGGATGGCGGGTTTGAGGTAGATGATTTTTATTGTCATTGTTGCTATTATCATTATTTGACGTGTTAGAGATGTACGGAGTAGAGTGCTAATATATATTATTGGCATGCTGTACTACCTACACTGTTCATCAAGGTCGTCTATAGGTTGGTTTTATTTACCGAGGTTCTAATGTATGCAGAAGTAGGGACTATGTACGGAGTCTATGTGCTTGGGACATGCAAGCGCTCCGAGTCAATCAACCATGCCCCGCCATGACTCCCCCCAGACAAAGACAGGCTCACGGTCGTCGTGCGCAAATCAGGTAGTACCAGCACCGTCTCGCCATGGTTCCGGTAGTCGACCTCGCACGGAATGGGTCGGCGCTGCAGCGCTGCCGCTGCCGCTGCCGTCGTGGACCCAGCTGCCACGGGTGGTCCAGGATTGGGACTCGTCACTTGCCCCCCTGCTGCCGTCGAGGACTGCGTCAGCGGCTGTGACAGGGACGGTGATGTAGATGAAGATGGTGGCACAAAGGTCCGGATTTCCAGCCCCGGGAGGAGTAGGTGTCCGGCTTTCTGCGGAAGGAGCATGATCGCAAACGTCTTGGTCTCGCCTTCCTCGGCCGTGAAGTTGCCGCGGCGTCGACCCCCAACCAGCCACGACTCGAGGTTTGCGTGGATCTCGTACGAGAACTCAAGAGGACTACCCCCATTCTCGCGGTGCTCGGGAGAGCACCATCGTCGTGTATGACGTATGCTAAGTTCGGCTGCGATCATCTGCCCAACTGCTGCGTGGGGAGGCTGATCGGCCAGGTTGGCAAGACGGAGCTCAGCTGTATGCACAACTTGAATTTCGGGGATGTCGACGGGGATGATGATATGTCTGCTGGGTACCGCTGGTGACTCTGGGAGACAGATGACCGGGTGGTTCTATGCATGTCAGCACCTTCTGTCCGCTCGAGACGCAAGGGAGAGCGTCGGCAGACGTGCTGGTGGCTTACCTTGTGCCATTCCATAAGCCAGGACTTCAGTCCGTCAATTGGCTCCTTCAGTGCGCCCAGTAACGTTTCCCAGTGTGCATTTGCATACTGCAGCGTTTCCACCTCCCGGACTAGGCCGACCACCTCCATGTCAGAAGTTGACAACTGTGAGCGGAATGTCTCAACGAGGTGCGAGGTGAGTAACGCAGTGTATTTTTGGAAATCACTGGCTGCGATGCTTGATTTGAATAAGCTCTCGACTGCATCCAAGCATTCGTCGTCCACGCAAGTAAAATCAACACTTAGTCGCAAAGAGCGTCTCGATCCCGGTGTGGCAACGCTGTCTGGCCGCTGTCGGATTTTGTAGAGTAATGACGCTGGCTGTTTCGCAAACACATTTAGCGCTGTAGATTCGCCGATACTTGACTGCACTTCGTAAACATCGGATTCTGGAATCCGGCACTTCAAGATCCGGAGTGGAATCAGCATGGCCGGACTGATGGTGAACCGGGAGAAGAGCACGCTATCTTTGAAGACATCCTGCACGTTGACACTGATGGGCAAGCCTGAGATGATGTTGTGCACCGACGAGTAGGAGAACCGTCCGCTGTCTGTTTCGTATGCTACTTCTGCCCTTGCAGAAAGCATCGGGTGGTGTTCCTCGACCGTGTAAGGGATCCGGAACCGGACAAAAGAGTTCGCCTTCAATTGCGTGAACTCGATATTCCCGGAATCACTATGCGCTTCAATCTTGATGTCTCCCTCTACCACTTCGGCTTCTGCAGTTCTCAGCCGTAGACCAGCAGTGGCAGGTCTCACTCGGACAGTGCCTGTTTTGATATTGTTCCATCCGCTGCTGAGTTCCAGCTCAAGTGTCCGCAGCTCTTCCAGGTTGACAAAATGTGGCGATACGATCTTGGCCTGAAGGCCGACCGGCGGCGGATAGCAATATATGTATGGCCGGCTGTCCTCTTCCTCGGCCTCTATCACCTCCCTAAAGCCCACTGGCAGCGAAGCATTCTTTCCGCCTGCGAAAGTAAAAACAATATTCTTCGCGCGCATCTCAATACGGTCCACATAGTATTTACCTTGCAGTGTTACCTACGGCAGTCAGCATATGCGAAGTGAGAGCAAAGGTGGCTGAGAGATGGATGCTCACCGGAGAGTCAACCAGCACCCTGGTCGACGATGATTTGATGGTCATTGCGATAGGTGCCTCTATCCAATGCTCATTACTTTGAGAACTATGTGCACCAACCAATCGCAGCTTGATCGAATCAATGTCAATGCGCTTCCCAAGAGTAAACCGTAGGTAGAGTTGTAGTTGAAACCCGTCCTTGTCCGCATAGTGCAAAATCGCAGGCTTGACATTGATGTCCGCAAAGAAATCCGTCATGGGCGCTGTGACTTCTTTCTGAAGAGGACTTGACACCTTGAACAGCTCCTCGACATACTCAGAGATCAGGGCATTTTCCGCAAAGATATGCGATGCATCTAGCGTCTTCTGTCGCTTCGATAGGTTGGACTGCGTGTATGTAGAAAACTTTGCGAGAAGACGGAGGATCACCCGGACGTATTCTTCACTGCGATTCAATTCTTTCAAGCACCGTGTATACATTTCCAGCATGATACCTTCTAGAACAAGCCAGTTCTTGCTACCATAAAACGGGGCAATGTGATGGAAATATGACGCGGCCGCGCCGTAATCGCTCTGTCGGTATCGTATCAGAGCCATATCGGCAAGAGCTGCCTGAGTCGAATACGTGCGGTTTGCAGCAATATGATGCCGATACATTTGATCGGTAAGTTCTTCGTAATGCACACGGAACGCTTTCCTAGAGTGCAGAGCTAGCTTTAAGCCAGGTAGCTCAATTCCAGAAAGGGTGATGGTGTTTTGCGATTTGTCGGCCTCAACCGGAGGCTCGTCGTCGAGAGATACGTCAGCCATATCATCATCGCCAGACCCTTCATTAAAAAGAAGACGAAGATCGTTCCATGTCTCTTTCCAGCCGAGTCTTGCAGAAACTTCTTCGAGAAGTCGGCGAGCCATCAAAAACAGCTCCCCTCTTCCAGAAGCCAATTGCTCGGAACCGGTTTTGGCTGTAAGTTTCGGGCCCTCGAAACCTGGTCGAGCATGGACAGAGGAGAGCGCATCTGGAGGCAACATTTCCGAGTTCGTCAGACGGGGTGGGCGAGGAGCAGGATTTGCAAGGGAACTCGAGCGTCGGGGGAGCTCTGTTGGGGCCTCTGTATGCGCAGCGGCTTCTGCTGCCTTATTGACAGCATGTAACGTAGACTCGGGAAGCGTAAGAGCAGGGGTATATGTTTGAGACAAAACCTGGCAAGTAGCGGCATAGGCCCAGGATGATACTACATTGTTCACAACCTGAGACTTTTTGACATTGTCCACATCTGCCAGCCCAGTCTCTAGGTCGATTCTGAGCGTCCGCGCTGCAAGACTGATAAACTCAGTTGATCTCTGGCAGATCTCAGAAAGGAGCAGCAGGTTCTCGGCCTTCTTGTCCTTCCTTGACGACTTCGGGCCGCTTTCTGCTTCCTTGTTGAGCAATGCAGGTGCCTTTGCCGCCCGAAGGAGCAGTGTCAATTGCCTAGAGAAGACATAGGTGCGGAAATCAAAGATGGAAATATCACTGGCCAGGATCTTCTCTCGATAGGGCTTCTTGGTGGAGGAGATGGGGAAATCCTCCATTGCGATCTCCGGGACGGGATCCGGCTCAGCATCGTCCTCGTCCTCGTCCTTGGGCGCTACTTCTTCTTCATCAGACTCCAGAGCCGCCGCTACCTTGTCTCTCCAATCCTTGCTGTAAGTTAGAAAAGCGCTCCCGTGCTGATCACCAGTCCCCTCAAGCTGTTCTTGTATGGTAGTGTCCAAACCTACGGCCAGCTCATCGTACCCGAGCAAGGCGTCCTCGAACAATCCCACATTCTCAAAGCCTCTGGCGAGGCCCTCCTTCAGTATGAAGAAGGTGCAGAAATTCCAGCCGGGCAAACTGCGCTGAGAGTCTTTCTCTTTGATGTCCTCCTCGTATTGTGCCACGCGGAGATCGAAAGACGCCAGGATTGCATTTTTTAGCTTCTCAATGAAGTCCTCGATTTGATCGGCTAGCTCAGGCGACTTCGCGTTACTGCCTTGTCTGGGGAGTCGCAGCTGAGCCACGCGATCTATATTCGACTTTGAAGCTCCGTTAAAATCCGCCTTGACCTTTTCCAGCACTGTCGTGGTTGTGCGACCCCATTTGGAAGCAGGGGCGGCCTTCTCTGCTCCTTCCCCATCCTGTACAACATGTAGGATGAGCCAGTCAAAGGCGTCATGTTTCTCTTGGCTGGTGGACGTTGCGCTGGATGAGGAGACCGTGGCGTGAGACTTAATCCAATCCCTTACTGCCTTCCGCGCCGTGGCCTTGTAGGTGTCATTGTCATCACAACGGAGAAGGTAGATCTTCAAATAGGGTGTTTGGCGTAGGCCTGGAATTTGGTGTCGTCGATGTGGTACAGCGCCGCCGGTCGTATCAACGGAAGGCTTGCGCTCGATCGACTGCTGGGCAGGGACGAAACCGATACGGAGGGACTCGATGGATCGAACGGGGCGGGTCGGGGACTTCCAGTGGAGGTTCTTCAACGGTAGCTTATCTGCAAGAATGGACTGAACGGTTGGGAAGATACCGGAGGGGTCCGTATACTCGACTGGAAATATGGACCAACAAGTGAGCGACGCAAGCCATTGATGCGATCCGGGAAGGTATTACCAGTGACACTGCTCGAGCCCGCCTGGGGTGATGGGTCCATGGTTCCCGAACACTATTCGGGGGGTGAGGGACCACTCGCAAAGGGCATGCCGCCTGATCGACCGGGGATGATAGCCGATTCCTAGCGAGATGCGCGGCGAGGGGAGGAATTGGCGGCGGACAATCACCAGGGGAGAGGAGGGAGGAGGGAGAAGGGAGGTATATCCGGCTATCAGCCACCGCGGCGATTGCGGTTGTTTTGGCCGGCAGGACAAGACCGCCTTTTCTCCGCGCGTGTGGCTCCTTCCGCCAAACCTTCCCAAGATCGCTTCGCCCGCCTCCGGGTTACTTACTCTACGAGGGGAGGTTCTGGCCATTCTTTGAGCAGGAAAAGTAATATTGATATCTAGGGAGCTCCGCAGGATGCGTGACTCGGTCTTCATTAGATCAAAGAGAATAGAAATGCATCGCCTAGGAAATACAACTCTGTACAGGAACAGTCGATGGCAGCATGGGCTCTCCAGAAACACGACAAAGAGATCAAAACAGTCATATCCCGTCATTATGGAACGATAGCTCTTGAACAAAAGAAAAGACATGCCCATTGTATTACCGGCCCAGAGGACAGAACGCCCTAGCTCAAAATAGACGAAGAAACAAAAGGAAAGAGCGAACGCAAACAAGGTCAACGGCCAGCTTCTATCGCGCGCTGCGCATATTGGGCCTTGACGAATTCATAACCGCTAGAAAACCCCTCCCAGATGCCCGGGACGTAACTCCGAACCCAGGCGCAAATCACCAACAGCAGGAGCGGAATCTAGCACCAGTTAGCAACGGCTCCCAGCAAGATGACGCAAGTCCATAGATATCTCCACTTACCCATATGAAGTACAGATTCCGATCGCTGCCAAGACCCTTCATCCTCCGCGCTTGCTGCTCCCTGAGGTGTTTTTGCTGTTCACGAGATATCACCTTGCGACCAATCCGTATGTCTTTGATATCTTCGCTCTCTGGTTTGGCCCGCGAGACCTCCGAGGTGCTGGCCAGCGCTTCGAAATGTTGGTCGAGAGCTGCCTCGGTCGCGGCTTGTAGCATGCTCGACTTCTTCAAGCGCGCTTCTTGCTCCTCATCTTCGGTCTCTTTGTGGGGATAGAGCTCTTCGTAGGACGGAAGCTCTGTGCCAGTGGGGGCCGAATTGCCTGTCAGCATATCCCACCAGCCATCTTTGGCCGACCGCGCTGTGCTCGGCCGATGTGGGACAAGATTCGTAATGCGACGCATCATCGGATGAGCCTGGTAGTCAGGTAAAGCGGGCATGGGCGGCAGAGCTGGAAGGTTGGGGAACGCGTTGGCCACGCTTTGCTGGAACTGATTGATCTGGGCTTGGAGTTGGTTACGCCAAGCAACCAGCGCTGCGGGAGGCGAAAACGGTCGCGCGTCGTCGGTTTGTGCTGCCTGCTCCGGCGTAGGGATCGATCCTGGTCGCTCGTGATGCATACTTGACCGTCGTGATACGGTATAGTCGATCACGTCATCCTCGTCCTCGGAATCATCCGAATCTTCAACGGCATGGTCGAAGGAGCCCGACACAGAGGAGGATTCCCAGAGCGAATGCAAGGATGCGGAACTGCTGTGTCTGCGCCGCGAAGAGGACAAAGACCCAACACTGCGTGAGCGATAATGGCGTGCAGGTATCAGGGCAGCTTGATGAGCTGGCAACGTTGTAGCAAGGTCTGCTGGGGTGAAGCCCCTAATACTACGGGCATTGGAGTTGGCCCCCGCGAGACGGAGCCTGTTCACGATATGCGCGTGACCATTCAAAGCCGCCAAATGCATCGGCGTGTTCCCGGTGTTATCCTGCAAGTCCGGATTGGCACCTCGAGCAAGCAGACCAGCCACAAATCGTGTCAACCCCAGTGATGACGCAAAGTGAAGCAGAGTCTGCCCTGTCGCAGACCGCGAATTGTATCTGGGCGGGCGGGGACTGTCGTCGAGGTCGACAAATTCCAGGTATTTCCACATTCTTGAATCAAGGTCGCTCAGTTTAACTTGCGATTCCAACCCAGCAGCCTGCCGCTGGTGACCACCGGACCCTCCTTGGAAGTCCTTTTGTAGGTTGAAGACGCCTTTCATATCACTGCCCATGATCTGCTGAGCCGTCTGGAATGCATCTGCTTGACTGCCAAGTTTCTGGCCAAGAATGCCGAGAGCCAGGCGATACATTTGCAGCTCCCGATCGTCGACATAACGGAAGAACTGTTGTTGCTTTGGCATCAGAGGTTGAGCCGGCTGCATCTGACCGAATGTGGGATGTTCGTGTTTGAATACCACCGCCACAAGTCCGGGTTGGAGTGCAGGCGGTGTCAAGCAATTGAGACACTTATCACCCCAAAACGTGGTGGTAGTGGCAAGAGTGTCGCCAAAAACAACTTCCATGCCAGGATAAAAGCCACTGCCTAATAGTGTAACCTCCGTGCCTCCCGTGATGGAGCCCTCCGCAGGAACCAATTTGTGGATGACCGAAGGAAGCCGGTTACCTGCATTGCTAAGGGGCGGCCACATTGGGGTGGACGGGGTGGGTCCCAAAGAGAGGTTGAAACTTGGGTCCTGGAAGTTGTTCCGCGAAGAACCACCGGGTGTTCCGGGGCGGCTTGGTTGAGCAGAGTTCGGCGCAGACATCAATTGCTGTTGGATAAAGTTGTCTAAACTCTGTTGCTGCATAGTGTTCAGGAACGGGTTTGAATCGGCGCCGTTCGGAGTCGGCGGTCCGTTAGAGAATTGGTTGGATAAAGCAGAAGTCGTCACAAACGGCCTCTCTATTGGAGATGCGAAACCACGGGAGCTGGAAAATTGTGGCTCGTTGTTCGGAGCCGAAGAGTTGGAAACGCTGGCAGATGACTGTGTATTTTCCAGTTTCGTCATAGTGAGTTCGGACGGCAATCTCCCGGAGTTGCTGTGCTTGCGGCGCTTGCTCATCGGCCCTTGGAAGTCATTCGGTGACGTTTGTCGCGAAAGACTCCGCGGGGTCTGTGAGTTAGGATTTGTCCCGTTCGTTGAGGGCTGTGACACAGCGAAGGAGTTGGACGTCATCTGATATTGAGTGTTGAATCTTTGCTGGAGCCCCTGCAAGTCCGTGGCCGAAGACGACTGAGCCGCTTGTTGCGAGGGAGCCGATGATTTGCCTGTATCAACGCTCGGGCTCGACGGGAACACACCAACGCCCGGCAGCTGTGTCCCATCAGGTAAAGAGGGGGAGGGGCCAGGAGCAGGTGGAGCGGGAGGAGCATGGGTCTTGTGGTCATCTGTAATCATGATCGAGTTCGTTATCGCCTGAGCGATGACGTTATCTTTGTAATCCTTGACGGTGAATATAACCCTAAAAGAGAACATTCGTGTCAGCCAAAAAAAAAGAAAAGAAAGAAAAGGAAGAAAAAGCAAAGACCACTGTTGGACGGAAGGACCGGGGTATACACACTGAAACCCGAGCTTCTCATTCTGATGTCTGCAGTAGCATGCGATCCGCATCGGCAATTCTACTTGCATAGCCCCTGGAGGGATATTCGGCATCGGGGCGTCTCCATAGCCTGGAATAGCATTCTTCGACGGCTCGGCCCATTCCTTAACTTCATTGGTGTTGAAGACAATCACCCTCTTCTCCTCATCCTTTTGGAAAAGTTCATCCTCCTCCGGCTTTCGTTGTTTTTTCCGGAATGCCCGCTTCCGTTCACGCTGAATACAACCAGGACAGATTTTCACTTCTCCACCATCCAACGGCTTGTCGTCTTCCTGTATATCTTCGGCGGAACGTGGGCTAGCGCTGGACGAACGGTAAGCATTTTCGCTCCTGGCTCTTGCAAATGCCTTTTTCAGCTTCTCTTGGTCTTGCATTGCGCTTGTACAGACAAGACTTGTGTGCAACTCCACAATCTCCGGCGATCGTTCAACGGTTGGCGGTGCAAGGAATTTCGGTTTTGAGATAGTGTGGCTTGGCAAGCGCAACTTCTTGACACCGTTCGGCAATGGAAAGAGTGTCAGTCTGATTGGGATCTGAGTTTCCACGCGCGATTTGAGCGAGGTGGGATGCACAGTCAAGATGTGGCGTTGAGTCGTTTCCTGCTTCATCGCACTTGGGGAAGGTGATGGTGCGAAATTTACGCCAAAGGGGAAGCTACTCGGTCCGAAGTTGAGTCCCGGGGTGAGCGGAGAGCCACCATTCATGTTGATCCCACCGAAGCTTTCTTCCAAAAGCGATGAAGGCGAATGACCTCCCCATGGACCCAACGGCGACTTCGCCTGCCCAAAACTTCTCGAAACCGAAAAGGGCGAAGGCTCCTTCGTACTGCGAGGGAAAAAAGATGGCCCAGGGATCTGAATTCTCCAGGTCAGCAGCGCACGACGGAAACAACCGAGCGGAAACATTAAGGTGGGCTTACCGACGAAGCGGAGTGTCTGGCTGAGGCACCAGAAACACTCCTGAACTGAGATTTCGATCTCTTCGAAAACTTTGGCTGGGGCGCAGACTCGGATTTCAGAGGGCTGGGGCTACTAGCAGCACTCTCGAAGTCGAAAGCGGCATCCATGGCCTTGTTACTCGACTCGAGGTCGGTATCTGTGGGGAAAGCGCCATCGAGAGTTGGCAAGGAGAGATCAAGACCGAAGAGCGATTCCTCCTTCACTGATGCCAGGTCCGGGTTCATCCAATCCTCCGTCGCATATCCAAAGGGCATCACGGTGTTTTCGCTATGAACAACCGATGCGGACGAGGTGACCGACGGGTTTCGGAGGTGGTTTCGCGGCGATGTGGAGGAGGAACTGGGAGAAGAACCGTCTGGAGATTCGGCGGGTGAGTCAGATGACACAACATTCACTTGTCGCAGCGCATCTTGGTCTTGATATGACCGTTTGAGGGACAATTCCGATGGCGACAGACACGACGGCTCCGATTCCGTAACTGGGCGGGACGAAGTGGCGCGCGAAAACAAGTCATCAAAGTCCCTCCCTGCATTTTCTGCCGACATCTGTAGCCTGGCAGTATCTAGAAAGTCCATATCTGTGTCCTGGTAAGGGTTGCCCATCTCGTCGTCAACAACAATCGGGTCCAGAAAAGGGAACGCAGGCGAAGAGGCAGCCTCTGCCGATCCCATCATTCGGTCCTCACTGCAGTATCCAGAAGACTTCAGGGAGACGCCAGCAACTCTCCCTATGGAGCCTCACAACCTGCTTTCAATTCCGACCTGATAACCGCGACCCAGATTGTTGGTACGACTGCCGGTGGAGCGAACAAAGGACGGTCGGGTGGGCTGGACTTGTTCTGGGCGGGCGCAGTTGTATTGCCTCCGTCAATAGTACCCCTCGTCCATCAAACCAGGCGGAAGTAACGTAGGAGATCCCGATTACCAAGCGAGTTGAGGGGAAGCGTGGTGGTTGTCCGGGGAGGGGGTCAAAGTAGCGTTGTTGAGTAAGGGCGGCTGGCGTAGGGGGGCGGAGGCGGAGGCGCGGCAGAGTTGGGAAAAGGGAGTAAAATCCAGGCCGGGCGTCGGAGCAGACGAGCGCAGAAGTTTCGAGAGGATAGAGAAGGCGTGTGCCTAGCGATTCAGCCAAGGCACCGACGGGATGGAGAGGGCCGAAGGAAGAGGTAGGAGTTGACTCGGGAGACGTCGTCCGGCCGGTAGGTGAATCCTGGAGACAGAAAGAGGAAGGGAAAGGAAGGGAAGGCGATGGTTATCTGCTGACTGGGAGTGACTTCGCTGTAAAACGACACTTTCGACAGTCGCGGTGAGGCGGCCCCGGAGCGGCGCTAGTCCCGATCAGGCACCAAGTTAGCCAGGGACGGAGTAACTAGGCCGCCGAGTTTCCATTGGCCGGGGGACGATCCTGGAGTGGCCCGAAGACGGTAGCAGCAGCACCTTCCAGTCATGGAGCAGTCAATTGCGCCTTCCCCATTACTCCGGAAGTTACGAGTCCTCGACGATTTGCTCCAGTACCACGCACACACACTCTCTCTCAGTCTTCACTTAGGTAGATAAATTGTGTACCATGTACTAGATCCTAGATGGCTCTCGGCAGGGTCCCCTTTTGCCCCATCCATGGATGCTCGTCCCCCGATCAACCATCATTTATGGATCATCGTCCCGAAAACATAAATAGGCGGACGGCTCAGTCCTGGCCACCCAGATCGAGCTGACCGCACCGCATTATGACACATCTTGAGGAGAACCCCTCAGCCAACCCAGAACTCCTCAAGAGCCTATTCGGACTCCAGCAGAGCGGCATGCAATGAACCACGAAAGATGGGCAAAGTAGCGGACCTGAATGTGGTGTTCGAATCGCGGATCATTAAACACCTTGTCTTCGATTGGTCCAAATGTCTGTCTGCGTTTGCCATTCTTGGGAAATTGGGCATACCACTACGTATTCCAAGTAGATAGCAGCCCCACGGGCAAAAAGAAAAATTCGGGGAAACGAAAAGGTGAGCTAGTCAAGGATGAAGACATGACGGGTTGAATAGTGAAATCATGCCATTGAGCTGCCATTGAGTTCAGTCCGGAGAGGAAACTCCGAAGGCGTCGCAGCCACTCAGAAATGTCCCCTGGGCTCGTCCTCGATGAACCCTCGGATCCCGACCATTCCGCATTCTGAGAGGAATCGATGATAAGCATTTTGACAGCATTCGACCCGGGTTCGTCGTGCGGAGCAGATAAGGTACTCAGTACCAAAATCCCATTTTTTGACCCTCGTTGTCCAGCGAATCAGCTCGGCCGGCACCGGCTTCACCGCACTTGCTTCTCAGCCAGCCCGTCGGCCATACTAGTAGCATCATCACCTTTGTATCGGCGGGATCCTCCTGGAGGCTATACCTGTGGATCCGAGATCTATGAGCTGAACAAAGATAGCGGCGATCTTTCGCTTAGCCAAGGGCACCGTCTGAATAAAGTGAGGTATTTTTTTCCGAGCTGAAGACCGAATATACATATATCCACACAATATGATTGTAGATCCGTCGGCGAAGATCTCGCGGCAAGCCGATCTTCACTAGTGCATGGACATTTAGATTTCACCTACGGAGTAGGACTAGTCCTTCGAAAAAAAGCAAAGAGGCGGAAAGCAGATAAAAGACCAGGGAGAATTAACATTAGTCTACGGGGGCTTTACCAGGTGGCTGGCTTTTCTAACAAAGAGATATCGATCAGGTCGATCAGGGAGAGATACAGCATGCCAAGGGCACTGTTCAAGTCGCCGTCATTTACATTCATGGAGCCTCGCAAAAAGCCAGCGCTAACATAAACCACTACAACCGATGTAATATGAAATGCTCGGCTAGGTTCCTTTATACTGTAGTTCTCATTTCATGCTTGCCCCTGGAAGTGGCATCCAGACCCAGTTAATGAGATACCCTAGGTGGAGGGCTAGGAGGTTCGTTCACATTCCTTGATCCCGGGAGGTTGGTGGTTCTTTCCCAACAGTATCTAGTTCTATTCACCAAATATGCAAAGTGAACATTCCTTTGAATACTGCCGCAGAGCTAAAGCCTGCAAGCAATCCGTAGGCTGCGATATAGATTTACTGTCGATTGTTTGTTTTTCTTTATATATATATAGTATCATGTGCCCTTGTCCCTGCAAACATGCCACGGACGCATGTGCTTAATAGGCTAATCCTGCGCAACCCGCCTGACCTGCCCGGAAACCCTGATAAATGCGCAGTAACACAGGCAAGCCACAATCTGCAGGTACGCACCGAACCCATGAGTAGGACAGCCTCCTGATCAATATGCAAGGTAACACAACTCAAAGCAGTTGAACACATGATAGGGCACAGATGATCAGGTTCTCTCAATGATCATTTTTTCTAGAAGCATGATCCCGCTGCATTTATGTGACAAGGTAGATTCCTTGAATCAGGTCAACAGTGGCAGTATTTTCCCATTTAACATTTTTTGTTGTGATATGGACTCGAACTAATGATTGACGACTGGCTGACAAGAGATGCTCGTTGTACTTAGTAGGCTTAGACCCTTGATGCTGGAGGCTTCGCGTATAACTTCCATGGGAATGCCCTCTACCGTGGTGGCTGGTTAGTTGAACTGCACCTCCCACAGGCCGCCATTGATCATGAAGTATATGCGGAGGACCACAGCTGGGGCAAGACGTCCATTTAACATAGTAGTCTCGAACAGAAGACTTTACTCTGCGGAAATGATACAGGAGAAACACATTCCACAGGAGTCCATCCTCCGCTAAACAAGCATGCCGATGCCGTTGAGGGAAAGCTTGGTCGGTCGGTCGGTACATGCGGATAGGGAAGGGCTCCGCCATGGGTGTTTCAGATTGAGGGCTCAATGGTGCAGCGACTTGGACCAGAGTCCCACCTATCAAGACCAGTGAGCGTCCAGACCACAAGGCTGGTTGAAAGGAGGAAAGGATTGCGCTTGTGGACGAGGCTGGGCGCTTCGAGAAGCAATGACAGCCCCTGCAGGGAGCGCGTGGACCCTCAGGGTCTTGTCGAGCCTCGAGAGGGACATCCACGCGTGCAACTTGTTTCTCGCGGACTGGCGGACATTTCAGTACCGGCGTGTCCAGCAAAGCGGGAATAGGTTGAGTGGCGGAGACCCCGATCAGGGCTGACGGGGAACGAATCAATCCAGGATCATTATCACCATTGCCAAGCCCAAGCCTGATGACCCCTCCCTGCAATTAAATCGGTAGTCTCAATCTAATTGTCGGATGGATCACGTCCCCAATTATTATGTGACGGGAATGGCGCCATCCACCTGCCCCGGGGCTCGGTGGCATTGCGCCCCGCCATCAATGTTGATCCAAGCTTGCAGTTTTCTTCGTCCGGAAAAGCCATGAGAAGCAACTACTGGTAGATAGCTACCGGGAGAGATGGTTCGAGTATGAAAAAGTAATGATGAAGTCGGCACGTGGTTGATCAATTCTTACTAGTCTGAAGGGCGGATGGAAAATTCCATCCAGTCCGGCTTCCTCTTCTTCCTTCCTCCTCTTTCATCCCATCGCATCGCATCCCAAATTCTCCAAAAGGATTCTCCGGCGGCAACCCACCCTATCCGATTCAATGACAAGAATAATAATAAGAGGCAATAATCACTAGAACCAGCCACTTCCGGGACGTTGCAAATGGCATCTCTTGGCAGGGCGGAGTTGGAGCCGGCGTAGCTCCAGGTTGAAACCTGCAGCGTCGCAGACTGCCGCCGGACGGCCAGAGGGCCTCGGGGCTCCGATCCACTCTCCTGTGATGCTAGTAAGTAGCTAAAATCGCTGGGCCCTTCGGGCGCTTCTCCGTCTCCCCTGTTTGGCCGACGCTAATTCCCAAGTAGTCCGTGGCTCCTGTAAGGGCGTCTCGACCCTCAACTCTGGAACCTACCGGCGTGTTTGTGGTCTGTGGCCCCGGTGCCTGGCTTTCATCAATCTCAGACTCCCCTGCTGCGGTGGCCCTATCTTAATCATTTCCGCGTCTCAGTCGTCCTGGTAGCCAGTGGGAACTTGACAGGTGCCAAGGAAACTAATTGCAGCATGGCCATCGGTGATGAACCTTTCATTTGTCTTGGTTCGAAACCATTTGGTCTGAGCGCTGGCGGAGACTTGATAGACCACGAGCATGGCTCGCATTATAAAAAGGTGCCAATTCACGTCGGGGAATCGACCTTCTTTTCTTTTCTCTCCATCAGCTTCTCATTCCTTTCTTTCTCAGGGTCTTAGAACCATCCATTCTCTTACTTTCCTTTCCGGGCTTCATTGATTGAAGTCCCTCCTTTCGTCACTCTTTCTTTCCCACCGGTCCCTCTATCCCACAATCGCGCTGTGCGTCGATAAACCCAAAGTCTACAAAAATGTCTGTCGCTAAGATTGCTGGTGTCGTCCTCGGTTCGGCCGCCCTCGTCGCTGGCCACGGTTACGTGTCGGGTGCCGTGATTGACGGCGAGTACTATGGTGGATACATCGTTACCTCGTACCCTTACGAGAGTGATCCCCCGGAGACCATCGCCTGGTCGACCGAAGCCACTGACCTCGGCTACGTCGATGGTACTGAGTACGCGGAGGCCGATATCATCTGCCACAAGAGCGCCAAGCCCGGTGCTATCTCCGCTGAAGTCAAGGCTGGTGGCACGGTTGAGCTGCAGTGGACCACCTGGCCCTCCAGCCACCACGGCCCCGTCCTGACCTACCTTGCCAACTGCAACGGTGACTGCTCCGATGTCACCAAGACCGACCTCGAGTTCTTCAAGATCGACGAGAGCGGTCTCATCAGCGACACCGAGGTCCCCGGTACTTGGGCCACTGACAACTTGATCTCGAACAACAACAGCTGGACTGTGACCATCCCCTCCACCCTCGAGGCTGGCAACTACGTCCTGCGTCACGAGATCATCGCCCTGCACTCTGCTGAGAACAAGGATGGTGCCCAGAACTACCCTCAATGTCTCAACCTGAAGGTCACTGGCAGTGGCAGCTCCACCTACTCGGGTACCGCCGGTGAAAGCCTCTACAAGGACACCGACGCCGGTATCCTGGTCAACATCTACGAGAGCCTGAGCTCCTACGATATTCCCGGCCCTGCTATGTACAACAGCACCTCTAGCAGCTCTTCCAGCTCTTCCAGCTCCTCTGCCGCCTCTTCCGCCAGCACCACCGCTGCCGCTGCTGCCACCACTTCCAGCGTCGCTACTTCTAGCACTTCCACCTCCAGCACCTCGACCACCTCCGTCGCTAGCGCTACCACTGACGCTGCTTCCGTTGTCACTGATGTTGCTACCACCGTCCAGACTGCTGTCGCCACTGCTTACCAGACTTCGACTGACGTTGTGCAGGTCACTGTCACTGGCAGCTCCCCTCAGCAGACCCACGTCCAGGTCACCACCTCTAGCGCCGCTGCCTCCTCCCCCAGCAGCTCCAGCGTCTCCGTCTCCAGCGACAGCAGCCTTACGAGCTACTTCAGCTCTCTGAGCGCCGACCAGTTCCTCAACGTCCTCAAGGAGACTTTCTCTTGGCTGGTCACCGAGAAGGTGCACGCCCGTGATATCTCCGCCTAAGCGCGCAGCCAGATTGGAAATTGGACCAAATAGACCTACTTTCTTTGTTGTATCCAACGGTTACATTACTCCTCTGACCGTTTGATGCCCTTTTTGTTTTGGATCGGGTATCCGTTTGTGTACCAATAAACTAGAAACTTTGGAGCTGTGTTTTTTCTCATGCTTGCCTCGGTAACTACCTTTTCATGTATTCCATTGTATTCGTAAATATGATTGGGAGGTCGTTGTTGTTGGTACTATCCAGAGCTACGAGGTAACAATGTTCTGCAACGCGCTTGAGCAGCCGACCTGCGGGATTGTTCTTCTCCCATGGCAGTCACTGGTCACACTTAGCGTGCTTCATTACTACTAGTAAGTTAGGAGAATATGACCTGGCTGATTCGTGACCACTAGCCAGCGGAACACTTCCTGCCCTGACAGGGGGTTTCCCTTACATGGTACGAGGTATGAGGGGTCTTCCGACACCTTGTACTGACTTACCTACTAGTAGCTAATGACTGGCGCCTGCCGAATATGAAAACACTGGCAGCTGGTTTTCAACTGCTAGTCTCTCCTCCATCATCTACCTTTATCTTTTTTTCCTTCTTCCCAGCTTCATACTAGAAGCTCTTTACAATCCTTCTCTTTTGAACTTTGAAAAGAATCATGCCGCTCTCGCAGAATATTGCTCCTTCGTCTGAGGATATTCCTCCCGAGGAGAAGAGTCAGTATCGAATGATCAAAGACGCCGGGTACAACAACATGCATGACTTCATGTTGTCTTATGGCATAAAGCCGAGCAGTCTCGGAGGATATGATGAAGCACGCCAGATCATAGACATCATGAGGCGGCATGATCAGGAGATTTGGGAAGCAGAGCACAACGGACAAAACCAGGATTACTCTGATAACCACGAGGCACACACCAGTGAACCTAACCAGGGCTACTATGAGGATTGGAAGGCAGAACAAGACGTGCAGAGGTTTGAGGTCTGCGAGGGAAACGATGACTATGACGAAGGAGCAGTTGAACACCATCACCAGTACTATGAAGGTGCCGCGGACCAGAGTGATTCGCCTCAGAGCCACTACAGTGATGATTGGGAGGCTGGCTCGGCTGGTGAGGAGGAGTGCTATGATAATTGGGACTGCAATGAGCAGTATGATGACGACTACGAATGAGGTGTACTTGTAACTGGTGAGTCGATCTTCTGTCTGCTTCTTGATCTACCGGGTATCTCGAAGGATTGGACGGACCTGAACTAGAATTTTAGTGAAATCATGTGTCAGTTACTGCCTTTTCTACATGAAGGGGATTTTTGTTGTGTGTGATAGGGGAATATGCCTATTAGGAAGGTCAAAAGTTTGTAAACTGAAGCTGCTGGAATAGTTCGTTGTTATGTGCTTGTAGTAGAAGCGGGGACACCGCGGCCGATTGTTGTTGCGGTAGTCAAATCCATTCGATCATCCCCTCAGCATCCCCGCGACCAGCTTCTTCTTCCTTTCCTCCCCCACTCTCTGGCTCTCCATTTCTGCTAGGGCAGGCTGAATGGATTTTACTACCTTCTAATTCTATAGTCCTATCGAGCCACTGAACCCTGCTCCCTCCGCCATGTTCAAGAAGAAGCCCACAGTACGTTACCCCTCCCCCGCATCACCCTGCGATCGGAAAGCTCCAACATTTCTTAAGGCATCCCACTCATGCTGGTCAACCACAGATCAAGAATCTTTCTCCCCTGCGGTCCTCGGACCGTCGGAAGATTGCTGATCAGATTATCAGCGATTACAAAATCGAGATCCCGTCGAATGCACCGGTCGAGACTAGCGACGACTCGACAGCCCCAGGCGCATCCAACCCTGCGGCACCAACCCTCACATCCATTCGAAATGCCCTTCTTCCCGAGAACTGCTTGTCAGCGCGCTTTACCACAACGGCCGGGCCCCAGCTCCGCGAAGTGCAAGGAACAGTGTATGTCGGAACACATCCCGGCGGCGATGAGCGCATTCTATGGTTCAAGGCCGACCATGGCCCTGGCGCAGACGGACGCCTTTATCCTACGGTTTATACACTTTGGAACAACCCGGATTTGGTACCATTGCTCCATACTCCACAAATGGTGATGCAGAAGCTGCACGGAGGAGCAGACTTGATGACTCCAGGTCTGGCCAATGAGCCGCCTTTCGACGAGCGTGCTGTGAAGGGTGCAGTGGTTGCTGTCGCCAGTCTAGATAGACATACAGTACCGCTGTTTGTTGGGGTGTGCGAGATTGACATCTCAGCACTTGGGGAAGTTCAGGGCACAAAAGGACATGCCGTGCGAGGTCTGCACTGGGAAGGTGATGAGTTATGGGCTTGGAGTTCATCTTCCAAGCCGGGTCAACCAGCTCCGGAGTATCTGGAGGGATGGGACGAAGAGCTGCAGGAAGAAGATGCTGACGTAGGAGAGATTGACGGAGGTGTTCAGGGCCTAGCATTGAATGGTGAAGAGACTGCTGAGGCGGGAGGCGACGAGCCGGCGGATGAAGTTTCCGATGTCCCACAGGAGGAAGCGCCTGTGGTTGAGGAGAAGGAGCCTACGACAAAGGGTAAGACTCTTGCGCACGTCATCTTCAGTGTCCTGAAACTAATCATGTATAGAGATCGACGAGGCTTTCGAAAAAGCCTTTTTGTACTCCCTCTACAAACTCAAGCAGGATAACCCTTCCGCTACCAATCACGGCCTATCTCTGCCTGTCCAGCCATCTGCTCTAATTTCAAACATGATTACGCCTCACCTGCCTATATACACCGCAAAGCAAGCCCAGTACTACCAGATCAAAAAGACCAGCTGGAAGAATGTCAAAAAGTTCATCAAGTACCTGGACAAGCAACGGTTGGTCAAGTCCAAAGACCGCAACGGTCAGGAAACCGTCATTCTCGACGTGGACTTCAATGATCGTCGCGTGGAACAGTTCGTGCCCTACCGGCTTCCATCCAAGAACGCCATCGAGAACGCAGGGAAACCCGCAGCGCCTGGATCCAACAAGCCCGCAACTACAGACAGCGACGACCCCTCAGTCGGACAAACCCTCACCGTCCAGACGCTCTACCGCCCAACCGGAAAACTTACCCCCACCATCTTCCCCTCTCTATCCAGCACCCATCCCAGCAACTACTACAAATACTCCGACGTCTCCACCCACCTCGACCAGTACATCCAATCCCAGAACCCGCCGATCGTCGACCGCCAAAACAAACGCATCATCAACCTCAACCCCTTCCTCGCCAACACCATCTTCACCTCCAATTCCTCCGACGACAAGAGCACTCTTGCCCGCGGCAAAACCACCCGCGATGGCCTCCTCAAACGTCTCATGGAAGACCACTCCCTGATGACAGCTCACTATGTCATCCTCAAACCAGGCCAGACCCTCACCGACGTCAAACCCAAAGCTGGCGCCGCCCCCAAAGCCAACGTCATCCTCGAGCGCCGCACCGGTTCCAAGACCGTCACCAAAGTCTGGAACCTCGAAGTCTTCGGCATCATCCCCACCCTCTTGGCCGAAGAGCTCCAGAAGAAATGCGCCAGCAGCACCAGCGTCACCCAGGCTACTGGCGCACCCAAGGGCGTCATGGAAGTCCTCGTCCAAGGCGATCAGCGTCGCGTACTAGAGACGGCCTTACTGAGACGTGGGTTGAAGACGCAATGGATTGACGTGGTGGATAAGACGAAGAAGAAGAAATAAATTACTCGCCTCAAGCAAACAAAAAGAAGAGGGGATGTGTCTTGTATCGGCGGTGTAGATATGTATGTATGTGTTCTATGACTTGGAGATTGGTACTGGGTTTGGATAAGATACCGTGATATACTAGGTATAGCAGTTGAATATACGCCCGTCCTGCTGACATTCAAGGGATTGGCAGAGATGTAGATGTTAAGTACTGCACTGCTGCATCGGGCAACTCAAGGTAGACAAAGGCCGGCTAGTGTTGTCAACTGTGACATAAGTAGTAGTTACAGATGATGTATATGTTGAGTGCTCCTTTCGAGTGCGACACGTGAAGGGTATGTATGCTACGATGACAAGAAAAGGTAAAAGCCAATATCATCGAATCCGATTCGATCTAGATTGTATGGTTCATTGAAGCAAAAAGGAAATGTTAATAATAAGCAACAAATATACAACGCCATTATGGTATGGTCTTCTTCAAGTCGGGGTAATCGAGCCAAGCCATGCTTTTTCCCATAAATTTCCCTTTCGAATAAAGAACAATCAAGCAAATTGATAGATAGCTTGAGATTCCAAACTTTTGTGTGACGTGAGATCATTTACTCCTTGGCATCCACCTTCTTGGCCGGGTGGTCGCCGTTCGCGCCGGCTTCGTCGTCACGGGCGCGCTTCTGGCCGGATTCGGCGGTGCTCTGCACGATGGGGACGCCGCTGGGGAGTGATGTTAGTATATACGTTCATGGTCAAGGATAGTCCTATGGAAGCTTACCGAGCATCCTTCTGGACCTCACGACGCTCCTCCTTGGGCTCGCTCTTCTTGTCGCTGAATCCGTTTTTCTGGTCCGCCGCGCGACGCTCCCTCCAGTCGCGGTTGTCGTGGCCACGGTTTCCGCCACGGCCACGGCCACGGCCGCGACCGTTAAAGCCGCGTCCGCGGGAGCCGCTGGGCTTCACGCGGCCAGCCTCAATATCGCGCACCTTCTCGTCGCAGTATTCCTTCTTGCTCTTGATAAGCAGGTCCTGTCCCTTCCACTGGGGCTTGGGGTCCAAGGCCAAGAAAGCCTTCTGCTTCTCCTCAGACTCGAACTCAACAAACACGCTGCCCTTGAAGGTCTTATCGTAGGTGCGACGCAGGCGGATCGCGTTGACCGGTCCGTAAGGGGCGAAGAATGCCTCGATATCGAGCTGAGTGGTGGGCTCCTCGTCACCGAAACCCTTGGCGTAGATGCTACGGGTCATGGCCTGGTCCTCAAACACCTTAGCCACGCTGTGATCGTGAGTCTGCGACACGCTCTCCGGAAGGGGCGTCTTGCGGCGCACGCAGGTATCGTTGTCAGTGAGCTCGAGAAACTCAGACGACTTGAGAGCCTCGACAACGGCAGTGAAAGGCTGGAAGCGGCGCATGCGCTTGAAGGAGTGAAGAAGCTCGAGAGGAACGGCGCGGTTGGCGCTACCGCCGACCTTGGAGAAGAGGAACTTGTCCATGGGCAGGTTAGAGTCGGAAAAGTAGAATTCAACCTGCTTGCGGATCTGGACCGGGTCATCCGTCACCTCCTGCGTGGAAGGGTCGAACTTGACATTGTTGCGGCGGTTGAAACGACCCTCGCGACCCCGGTTATCGTGGCGGAATCCCCGTTCTTGTGTCTTGACCTCCTTCTGTTCTTCGGCCTTCTCAGACTTCTCACCCAGCTTGGCGGCAGCTTCGACAATGCGAGCTTCCTCAGCATCCTCAGTCTCCTTCTTCTCAGCGCCGTTGGCGGGAACTTCGTTCTCGCCCTTCAGCTCGGCGAGGACGCTCTGAACATCCTTCTCGGCCTCAGCGTTGGGCTGGGCGACAGGCTTATGCTCCTCGGACATGGTTACGGAAGTGTGTTGTGTGATGAAAGGGGGTTGAAGGGAAATGGAGTGATGATGTCTCTATCTGGATCGGAACTTGTCAGTAATGATCCGGTAATTTGAGCAGCATTAAGCCATTGGCGATGAGTCAAAGGTGACGTGATGGAACAATCCCATGTCAGATCCATGATACGGACCGATTTGGCCAATGATGGACGGAGATCCGCGCGAGGGCGATGCGGAGAAATTAAAGAAGCAAGCAGAGCGCTCATTTCTTACCTGGAATACGCGTGCGCAAGACAGAGAAGTATGGACGGAAAGGAGATTCGTCCGGAGAGAGACACCTGCAAGTAACTTAAGACGTGCTCTAGATGCGAGAAGGAAAATCACCAGACCAATAATGCGCGGCGGGGGAAATTTTCTGAGCGCCGCGGCGGAGCGGCTGTCTTCCACGCCTCAGGCAGCACACCGTGGCGGTGCGTGGCGCAAACAGACTGCTTTGGGAAGGTGGCCGAACTAACCTGTTTGGGAGAAAGGAGGACACCCTCAAATTTCCCAACAAGGAGGTATGATAGATTCTTGTCTTTTACATAGCTTGCTCAGAGTATGGAGTAGATGCAGCCGATCAGAGAGCAACATGGAGACGTCGGAGTGCGAAATACCATCGGGCCTTGAGCGTAGTTACCTAGACGCATCTCTCATCAGGATACGGAGTAAGGCGAGGAAGAACAGGTACTTTGCGCAGCACCCTGCTGTAACGGAGAAAGATAGCTGTGATTGGTAAGCACAAACACTGTAGTAGGCACCGATGGGACATGCACGCGCTGTTGTTGCCTAACTGGCTTTCTGCGCGTGGGCGGTTCTCCCTGGCTGCAGGGCGACCGAACATCTTCATATCAACAACCTCGTGGTGTGTTGGATGTTCTGATGAGACCGCTGGCACAAAGAACATCGCACATTCGCTCCACCATACCAGTTCCAATATTGCCATGCCTCTCAGATCTATATTCCTTGTCTCTTCCCGTAATAGCCAGGGCCAGCGCGCGCATTTCTCAATCTTTGTTCCCTCTGCGTCCTCCCCCAGTATCGGTACCTCGATACATGTTGTCGGTGCGCCTATCATGGGTTATGAGCTGGAATTTAGACGGAACCACACCCCATCTGTCAACGAGGAGCCATATGAAATGATCTCGATCGGGCAGGTTGAGTCTAGCAATATCGTGGACTCTTCGGGCGAAGGCAATCTGTTCGTAGATCATACACCCAGAGATAACCTTGAGATTGCCGCCAGTCAAGTACCTCCCCCTCCAATCAGCGAGAATTTTATGGCACCTGTCAACGATGTAAGTAAACGTCCTTGTATTGAAGGAGTATGCTCCGATCTAAACTTTCACAGACCACCAACAAAAGATGTCAAGAGTGGGCCCATGGAATATGTCCATCGCTTAATTGCTCGAGGCCTAATCGGGGAAGAAGCAGCACAGATTGTTCAGTCTAAACGTGATCCGCCAACCCATGGTATTGGATTGCAGCTTGCAGTGCGACGGCTGGCTTGAGAGTGTAGTTCGATTGCAAGCAGAAAGAAAGTATATGAAAATCGGTCGGTATAAACCATCGATTTTTGGGAATGACTGGTGTCCCCGCACTTCGGCTTAACGATTAATATAATACAGAGATAATTGCTGGCTAAGAGAAACCTGAAGAATTTAGTCACTAGTATTGGCTAGAAGGCGTTGAGCTGGGGCAGGCCGTGGCAACCTGGAGAGGAGTGTGTACTTCCACTCTCGATTGCCTACCGTGAGTCCGTGCAGTGACCAAGGGCGCCTGCCATTTTCGTTCTACGTTCTGATCTATTAGAGGCTTCAGATTGCAGCCACCAAAATCTTTCCAGCAGCAAGTTTCCTTTGGCCTGGTGCTTTCTTTGACATACTTTTCTCATCGCAGTCTGCTATCAGACGGGGTTCCTTGGATATACCTTAATCATTTGAGCCGATATCGACATTGCCGCATACCGCAGGATCCCGGGTCATTACAACGTCCTCATAACTCGTCTTCGAGCCATTATGCGGTGTATCGCTTTCAGGTATGTCGAGGAAGGTGTTCGGTGCTGATCTACTCCTATTTTCTGTCCATCGTGAACTTCATCAAGAAACAAGCTAATGGATTGGCTCCAGCAGCGAGAGTCAATAATCGCTGGGGTCCACGGTAATTGAAAAGGCCTCCTTGGATTGGATAGCATACAGATCTGGAATTGGTTTCAACGATTACGTCTCGCCCTGAACTGCCTATACATCGATCCATCGCAGTTGGTGTTCCCTATTATTAGGGTGCACAGGAAGACTGTCGATTTGGATCACGCAGCTTGCCAAACATGGCTGGGGAAGCATCGTCAGAGACGCCAGGCGCGTGGCCCACCAAAGATGTAAGCTGGGGCTGTCATGCACAAGTAAATACATTAACCGGGAGTATAGGTCATTTACGTCTCGATCCTCGGTCCACTATTGCTCGCAGCTTTATTGGAGTGGTTCCTTTTCCTTGCTGCATTTCTATACTGTCTGGTCAAAGTATATCAGAAGGCAGATCACTGGAGTATTCGAGCTCTTGCAGCCATTATGGCAGTTCTTTTCACACTGTTGAGGTGAGTTCATGCAATTTATGAGGGCACATTAAGGGGTATACCATAACACGCCTTATAGAGGCATCTTCCTCCCAGTCATGATCGCCATCCTTCCATTGCCACCCCAAATTACGCAGTTCTTCCCCCGTCGACTCGTCTCCGTGCTCCAGTGGTTGGCATTCTGGGCCTTTTCGGCGCTTCTTATTATACCTTGGCTGTTTTGTGTCAACAGATTCGTTATTCACTCGTTGGGAAGGACCAAGCGGGTGAAGGAGGCTCTGGACGACCGCACTGCACCCAAAACCGTCATCGTCATGCCAGTATACAAAGAGGAGCCCCACGTCCTTATTAAAGCAATTGATTCGGTCGTCAATAGTGACTATCCCAGTTATTGTATTCATGTGTTTCTCTCTTACGACGGGAGTAACATCGATGAACCTTATCTTCAAGTGATCGGCCATCTTGGGATCCCGATATCGTTGGACAATTACCCGCAGAGCATCGATGTAACATATCATGGGGCGAGGATTACCGTGTCAAGATTCAAGCACGGTGGCAAACGGCATTGCCAGAAACAAACCTTCAAGTTGATTGACAAGGTCTATGCGGATTATCTTAAACACCACGACGATCTTTTCTTGCTGTTCATCGACTCGGATTGCATTCTTGACAGGCTTTGCCTGCAAAACTTCATGTACGATATGGAATTGAAACCGGGAAGCCAACACAATATGTTGGCAATGACGGGCATCATTACTTCCACCACCGAGAAGAACTCGTTGATCACCGTTTTGCAAGACATGGAATATATTCATGGCCAGCTTGTTGAACGTACCGTGGAGTCTGGTTGCGGCGCTGTAACCTGCCTTCCAGGTGCGTTGACGATTTTACGATACTCCGCTTTCCGCAAGATGGCCAAGTATTACTTCGCGGATAAAGCCGAGCAATGCGAGGATCTCTTTGACTATGGCAAGTGCTACCTGGGAGAAGATCGTTGGCTAACGCACCTGTTCATGATTGGAGCGATTGAACGCTATCAAATTCAGATGTGCACCAGTGCCTTTTGTAAGACAGAGGCGGTTCAAACTTTCTGTAGCCTTCTCAAGCAGCGACGTCGATGGTTTCTTGGTTATATCACCAACGAAGTGTGCATGCTGACCGACGTCAGGCTATGGAGACGATACCCTCTTTTGTGTCTGGTACGTTTCATGCAGAACACGATCCGGACAACTGCATTGTTATTCTTCATCCTGGTAATCTCCATCATCACAACTTCAAGCAAAATTAGAAACTTGCCTGCCGGCTTCATCGCAGTCTCCCTGGGCCTTAATTACATCCTCATGGTCTATTTCGGGTTGAGACTCAAGCGCTTCAAGGCATGGCTATATCCCCTGATGTTCATCTTAAACCCTTTCTTCAACTGGCTCTATATAGTGTACGGAATATTTACCGCCGGCCAACGAACGTGGGGTGGGCCTCGAGCGGATGCTGCGAAAGCTGATGAGCACACTACCCCAGAGGAAGCGGTCGAAAAGGCTAGGGTTCAAGGGGATGAGCTGAATGTACAGGTGGATACCTTTCGAACCAAGGCTGATGAGAAGGGGGTTCCAATCCGGCCTTCATCCAAGGTCAACGGGCGCCTCTCGGCCGTACCGCAGATTCCAGATCGTTACTATGACCGTCAAAGTGCTCTGGGAGCTAGTCTCGCCAAGTACATGACGCCCCTTCCAGACGTACCTCGAATCGGGACTCACCCGCATTACTCGCTTGACTCAGTCGCGACATCCGACTCTGGGGCAAACTCAATTTCATTGCCCCAGCAGGTGGAAACTCTGCTTAGTGCAGAGGAAAGGGTCAACCATTACACGACTCGCCAGGGGCTGGAATCTACCGGACTTCTGCAAAGCACGGATGCTAGCCACGAGGCGGACATTACCGAGGATGGCGCGTATGTGCGACCCAACGAGTACCCGGAAGACAGCAGAGCGTATGAGTTGCATACAATGGATTTGGTGACCAGTTTCCCAAGCCACAAGTCCCGTGGACCACCGAACGTGCCGGAATTAGGGCTGCGGCAACCAACGGCTGTTTCTGGAGGCATGGGTCAATGTCATGCGACGGCCGGAAATCCCCGAAACAAGCGACTTAGCAGAATCCCGAAGAAGAAATCGATGCAGCCGGAACAAATGGTCTGAACCCCGAAGTAATGCGCTGAGCTACTTCGGATCGTGTAGTAAAGAAGGGGATGACCACAGGAGCCGAAATTGATTGGCAGGAGTAGATTTTGTCGGGGACACTCATGTATAAACTACTTACTCGCCTCTCATTCAGTTATGGCTCGCGAGCCTTTGCTTATTCACATCCCCTGTACACAAATAACCCATGCAGCATCAACTTTGCTTATATCTAACTTTGGCTTCTAGGTGATGGATCGTGGCGGGAACGCCTTGGGCGCCCTGTCCCTTTCCCACCGATGCGGTCCGCATCAGCTAGTCAAGGCAAGGGTACCATTGCAGTTGTGGTTACTCCGTACTATGAAGTATAACAGATCTATATGATGAGGTCATGGGAAATAACTAGGGCTCCGATGCATAAGATTAGTCATCATGAATAGCAGAAAACTCTGCATTATCGATAAGCCCCGCCAATGCGGTAAGGCCGGTTCTGCCGGGGAAACTTAGAGCGGTGAGTGGTGGGAGGCGTCCAGCAGCAGCCAGAAGGTTCGACGAGCGCCCAAAGGCCCGGTGAAGCTGCTGGCCTGCTGGGAGCGATTGTGTCAAAGGCCAGGGCCCTATTTATTATTCCTCCGACCCGGAACACATCATCCTCGCTTCTGCATATCTCCTCTGTGCGCATTTCCGAGTGGGACCCAGCGATTCGACCTGACGTCGACCCGATTAGTTATTATCGAAAAAAAACTTGACGAGCCAGCGGCGCCCACGTTTGGACCGGGAGCCACTCTTCGATCGCCTTCACCGCCCGATAGCTTAGTGGCGGGCCCTGCGAAGCGCAAATTCTCCCCCTCCGTCTCGCTCTTTTCTTTGCTCTGGATCCTCCCCCAACCTCCCCCTCAGTTCCATCCTTCTTCTCTTTTCCTCTTCAACTTCTCCCCCCTCCCTCCCCCCACTCTCTACCTCCGATCTCCCTTTTACATCCTCCTCATCTAAACAATGTCTGTCGTCGGTATAGATTTTGGTGCCCAGAGCACCAAGGTTGGTGTTGCCCGTAACAAGGGTATTGATATTGTGCGTATCCCGCCGCCCCCTCTGCCCAATTTTCTGTTCCCCTCTTAGCGCTAGCCATCCGCTCGTCATCTTGGTCGTGATAGTACTAACATTCTCATTGTGATGGCTCACAGATCACCAATGAAGTTTCCAACAGATCTACTCCGTGAGTCCGCCCTCCTGCTTATGTTCAGCTCATGTGGCAGGCAAAACAGCTCTGCTGCCCGTCCCGGTGACCCAATCTCATACTGACCTTCTTCTCCCACATAGTTCCCTGGTTGGCTTCAGCTCCAGGAGCAGAGCCCTCGGTGAGGCCGCCAAGACACAAGAGACCTCCAACCTCAAGAACACGGTCGGCAACCTTAAGCGTCTGATCGGCCGCGCATTCAGCGACCCCGATGTTGCCATCGAGCAGGAGTACAGCACGGCTCAGCTTTGCGATGTCAATGGCCAGGCCGGTGTCGAGGTCAGCTACCTCGGAAAGAAGGAGAAGTTCTCCGCGACTCAGCTTGTTGCCATGTACCTCACCAAGATCCGGGACATCACCTCCAAGGAGCTGAAGCTTCCCGTCTCCGACGTCACCATCAGCGTCCCCGCTTGGTTCACCGATGTCCAGCGTCGCGCCATGCTCGATGCCGGTGAGATCGCTGGCCTCAAGGTTCTCCGCCTCATCAACGACACCACCGCCACCGCTCTCGGTTACGGTATCACTAAGCTCGACCTGCCCGGTCCCGAGGAGAAGCCCCGCCGGGTCATGTTCGTCGACATTGGCCACAGCGACTACACTGCCTCCATCGTCGAGTTCCGCAAGGGTGAGCTCAACGTCAAGGCCACTGCTTACGACCGCCACTTCGGTGGTCGTAACTTCGACCGCGCCCTGACCGAGCACTTCGCCGATGAGTTCAAGGAGAAGTTCAAGATCGATGTTCGCACCCACCCCAAGGCCTGGGCTCGTACCCTTGCCGCTGCCGAGAAGATGAAGAAGGTCCTGTCCGCCAATCCTGCTGCTCCCATGAGCATTGAGTCCCTGATGGAGGACGTTGACGTCCGCTCTATCGTCAAGCGTGAGGAGCTCGAGACCATGGTCAAGCCCCTTTTGGACCGGGTCACCGTTCCTATCGAGGAGGCCCTGGCCGAGGCCAAGCTCAAGCCCGAGGACATCGACTTCGTCGAGATGGTTGGTGGCTGCACTCGTGTGCCCTCCATCAAGGAGGCCGTCTCCAAGTTCTTCGGCAAGACCCTGTCTTTCACTCTCAACCAGGACGAGGCTATTGCTCGCGGTTGTGCTTTTAGCTGTGCCATCCTCTCCCCTGTTTTCCGTGTGCGCGACTTCTCCGTCCACGACATTGTCAACTACCCTATCGAGTTCACCTGGGAGCAGTCTGCCGACATCCCGGATGAGGACACCAGCCTGACCGTGTTCAACCGGGGTAACGTCATGCCCTCGACCAAGATCCTTACCTTCTACCGCAAGCAGGCTTTCGATCTCGAGGCCCGCTACGCCAAGCCCGAGATGCTGCCCGGCAAGGTCAACCCCTGGGTTGGCCGTTTCTCCGTCAAGGGTGTCAAGGCCGATGCCAACGACGACTTCATGATCTGCAAGCTGAAGGCCCGCCTGAACCTGCACGGTATACTGAACGTGGAGTCTGGATACTACGTTGAGGATATGGAAGTCGAGGAGCCCGTGCCTGAGGAGGGTGAGGTAAGCGATACCTAGTCCTTCTACTGGATGATATCTTTCTGACGACTGAATAGGCTATGGACACCGATGCCAAGGACGGCGAGCAGCCCAAGAAGACCCGCAAGGTCAAGAAGCAGGTCCGCAAGGGCGACCTCCCCATCTCTACCGGCACCACCTCCATCGACGAGTCCCTCCGCAACACCTGGACTGAGCGTGAAAACGCCATGTACATGGAGGACAAGCTGATTGCCGAGACCGATGAGAAGAAAAACGAGCTCGAATCCAGCATCTACGAGCTGCGTGACAAGATCGATGGCGTCTACTCCGAGTTCGCCAGCGAGGAGGAGAAGGATAAGCTGCGCGCTAAGCTGACTGACACCGAGGTAAGACTCTCCGCCGTGGGCGGTCTGTATCTGTGATCCCGTGCATGCTAATAATCTCTGCAGGACTGGCTCTACGAGGAGGGCGAGGACACCACCAAGTCGATTTACGTGGCCAAGATGGATGAGATCCGCTTCGTCGCCGGCCCCATCATTCAGCGCTACCGTGAGAAGCAGGAGGCCGAGCGCCAGGCCCAGGAAGAGGAGGCCGCCAAGAAGCGTGCCGAGGCCGATGCCAAGCGCAAGGCTGAGCAGGAGGCCAAGAAGGCCGAGGAAGATGCCAAGAAGGCTGATGAGAAGGCAGACACTGAGATGCAGGATGCCCCGGCCGAGGGCGAGAAGCCCGCTGAGTCCGAGCAGTAAAGTGCTCGACTGGTAGATATTGGTGAGCCCAGCTGTGGGATCGCAGCTTGATGACAATGTGGTCACGAACAATACAATCATGTTGAACCCCTTCAGTTGTTTGATTCTTTTTCCTTATTTCTTCTTATTGTTGCCGACAGTCGGTACTGATGTAGAACGACCTGATTTCCCTCCAGTCGTTGCGTTTCCTCGCCAGGTTGTTGCGATCTTTTTGGCCTGATGGCCTGGTCGGCGGCGACGGCAGCTGGAGGGATGAAAGACTTAGATACGACATGGCGATGTGGATAGATCTGTTTGAAAAGTATATGATTGGTAATACAGAATATATCCTTATCAATACCTCACAAAATGAACCATCGGTCCAATAATGATACCAACCCAAGAAAGAACTAAAGGTATTCTTCCCCGATAGTTCTCGCCTTAGTAACCGCATCCTGATTCGAGATCACACTTGAGATCTCTATATCCAACCATTCCCGCAGGTATCCCCGGCGAGACATCCGTAGATGGTGATGCAATTGTCCCGACCCCGGACAGCCAGCATAACACCTGCGAATAAGCCTTATCCTTTCGGTCCCATAAGGAACGTAGGCAGGGTTAGTGGGCTTAGGAGGACGTCGTTGATGGCATCAGGGAGAAGATGGTTTTTGTATTCCATAGGATCACAGAAGCCTCAGGAGAGTCACATAGAAGGAGCTCGTAATCCCATAAGAATCATGATTGAATAGCAGTTCCCTCCGAGTACTGGTCTGTAAGTCACCTGCCGATTTGGATGGCAGGAGTCACCTGACGACTACCTTGCCAGGTAACTACTCATCACAACCCACAACCACTCCTCCCGCCACATCAGATACATTCATCAGCTCAAAGTTATGAATATTTTTCCCTCTTCCAGCAGCTACGCTTTTACCAATACCAGCGCTTTAGACTCCTCAGCCATTCCATGGCAAAACCTAACTAAGCCCGACTAGAACCCCATTTTCATTCTCGAATGTCATGCTAATCCGTTCTTTCCATGGCCCGGGATTATAATTGAAAACGGTCGAAAAGGTCTGGAACATGCGAGCCACAACGTACGTGAGTACAATCATAGCATATTGCTCTGCTCCCGTGTTAGCAAGCTTGAATTGAGCATCGCAGTAACCGGACGAAGCTTACGGCCAGGGCAAATCCTAGGACCCTTGTTGAATGGGATAAATCCGGCCATGTCTCCGCTTAGGTGTTCCCACCGTTCTGGATAAAAAGTCTCTGGTTTATCCCCAAAGTCCTCCCCTAAGCGATGTCTCGCCCAGGTCGAAAAGACTACAATATCTCCTTTCATGACAAGAACAGGCGAGTTGCCATCAGATCCACCACCGTTGGGCAGTGTTGAATTCTTGTTCGCCACCCTAGCATTGAGTACAACTGGGGGATAGAGCCTCAATGCTTGGCTGCAGTGTCAGTCAAGCCTCGAGACTGAACTGCTAACGAGATCTCGTACCTTCCTGTAGTACCCAGCGGATATAATGCAGTCTTCCGAGTTGTTCCCACGTCGGAGGTGTCAGTCCAATGGTGTCCAGGATACTTGCTCGCAGCTTGCGGACGACCCGCGCATCCTGGGAGAGACAGAAGAAAAGGCCCGAGAGAGTGGTGCTCATGCTGTCATTTGCGAGTAAGATGCTCAAAGATTGATCAGTGAGCTGTGATATTTCGTCGGTAACTGAACTGGAATCTGATTTGGAAGCACCTTTTTTTCCAGGTTTTCCCTCCATGTTATTTCGCCTTTCGATTTCCCGGATCGCACGAACCACCACATATTCGCGTGCCCTCTTGCATGACTGAAGAAACTTTCGCTTGGAAGACAAATGACGGAGCGGGCCACGGAAGCCATCTTGCACGATCCTTTCCTTGACCAAAAGCAGGTGCTTTAAAAATTGCTCCTTCTCTAGTGATTGAGTGAGGCTGAGAGCATCGACCGATTCCCCCAGAGAAAATGAGGTCTGAATATCCAGAGAGAGAGCAAAGAAACGGGATTGAATGTCGAAGACCTGTCCATTGGATGGGACGTGTTGACAGAAGGCCTGGAAGTGTTGTTCGCACAATGTGAGATCGATAGCCTTGCGAAGGTTAGAGAGCCGACTCCGCAACTGCTCCCGGCTTGTCTTCCAGTCTGCACCGTCGAGGGTAAAGATTCCCTGTGGAGTAATGGGCTTAAACAAGGGCTTTCGCAGTGGGGAGCTGTCAAAGTCGACAAATGCCGTGGATAACAGGTGTTTGGTGTTCTCCGCGCTGCAGGTAAAGAGAAGCCGGTATCCCAGGACATTGGAAGTATAAGTCTCTCCGTACTTTTGGAAGAGAACATTTGTATAACGGAGGGAGGTTCGGGTCCGGAAACTAAACGCCAACTCTATGGCCTTGGCGATGCCAAAGAAATCATATCGGAAACGGTCGCTTTCGTTGGGTGGCTTCTTGCAGCCATGAAGTTGTTCAAGATCCCGCAGCTGTTGGATACGGTGACAACTTCTCGCCAGGTAGATAACGGCAGCTACAGCAAAAGCTATGAAAAGGCAACCCGGTCCAGAAGTCTCGAGTGCTGACTGTACTGGCATTCTTGGGGTTTTCTGTTGGATTAGGTGGCACGAACATCGGATAAAGCGCAAATCATACGGCGGGGACACGATCCGTGACGGTCTAGGTCACTTGAGATTTTAAGTGTCGTGGTTGACCAAGGACGGCACAATGGCCTGTCATCAAAAAAGCAAAAGGTACTACTACCTAGATCAAGGCACATTGGATCCACCGCGACGTGGCGCTGCTACGTATATATTTGCATCCCCGCATGCGGCAGAGCTCAAGACCTTCATAGGTAACACAACAAGTGCTCAGCTATCATCCAACCTGAGCTACATCGTTAAAATGGCCTCAGACAAGGGAGATAATCTGGAGACTGTCTCCGGAAAGGACCACCTTGTTTCCCAGGTAAAGCATACCCTGAAGCTTTCGACCGACTATGCTCTTGGTTCGGTACGCCCCGACGGGCATTGGTGCGGGGAGCTCAGATCAAACGTCACTATCACGGCCGAGTATGTCTTCCTTCAACAAGCTTTGGGGCTAGACTTGCAAACCGACCGCACAGCATACTGTCGCTATATCCTATCAGAGCAGAACAGTGATGGCTCCTGGGGCCTGGCGCCCGGTTATGCAGGCGACGTATCGACGACGACCGAAGCCTACTTGGCACTCAAATTACTGGGGACGAGCACAGAAACACCAGCCATGCAACGAGCCCAGGCTTTTACCCTTACTGCCGGTGGAGTTGCGAGGGTCCGCGTGTTTACGCGCATTTTCCTGGCAACCTTCGGCTTATTTCCATGGGATGCGGTACCCCAACTACCCGTTGAGCTCATTCTTCTTCCTTCCAGCTGTCCAATCAACATCTACACGTTGGCATCCTGGGCCCGTGGTACGATTGCCCCATTGCTGATCATCTGCCATCATCGGCCTGTCTACGCGCTACCGGACGACTATCTAGACGAGTTGTGGCAGAACCCGACGAACAAGAACGTGCCGTACGGCTCATCTATCTGGGAGCTGCTGTCTCAGAGAGACATTCCTGGGCTTGCATTTACTGCCGTGGACCGGTTGCTTTATCAACTGGGTGGACTTCGCTCGATCCCGCTGCTGCGATCTTACGCCCGACGGCAATGTATCAAGTGGATTCTGGAGCGCCAGGAACCAACCGGCGACTGGGCCGGGATCTTTCCCCCTATGCATGCCAGTGTGTATGCTTTCGTGCTTGAGGGATACAAGTTGGACGACCCTCCAGTCCGCCTTGGAATCCAAGCCATAGAAAACTTTGCCTGGGAGGATGAACAGGGCAAAAGAATCCAACCCTGTGTTTCTCCCGTGTGGGACACGGCTTTGATGTCCATTGGGCTCTGCGATGCCATGTCACACGATCGGCAAACCCTTGATCAAGCTATCACATGGATCCGAAATCGCCAATTACTCGAGCCTCGCGGGGATTGGCGCGTATACCGACCCCAGCTAGCTCCAGGCGGCTTCAGCTTCGAGTATGAGAATAGCCACTATCCCGATGTGGATGACACGGCCGCGATTATTCTTGCCCAGGTAAAGCATGATGCTCGGTCCATCAATTCAGACTCTGTGATTGCAGCAGCCACATGGATTCTGGGCATGCAGAATCCTGATGGGGGGTGGGCTGCCTTTGATGTGGAGAACGATAAGCTATTCCTCAACAAGATCCCTTTCAGCGACATGGACAGCCTGTGTGACACATCTTGCGCTGATATCACTGGGCGGATCCTGGAAGCCTTTGGACTGATGATGACGCATGATTCAGAGAAGACCGGGGTTTCTCCCATGCTGCGTGCAGCATGCACCCGCGGAGTCACTTACCTTGCCTCCACGCAAGAGCCTAGCGGAGCGTGGCTCGGACGATGGGGATGCAACTACATCTACGGGACGTCTCATGCGCTGTGCGGCCTGTCGTACTTCGTCAGTCATGATGAGCGAGTTAGCGGGTTGGTGAACCCGGCTCTGCAATGGATCAAATCCAAGCAAAATGCTGATGGCGGCTGGGGCGAATCATTGCTGTCTTACCGATCACCCGACAGTCAGCAGCAGCACCAAGAGTCAACAGCGTCGCAAACTGCATGGGCGCTGATGGGATTATTGGCCCATCTGCCCGTCACGGATGCTGCTATTGAGTGCGGCATTCGGTGGCTGGTATCCGCGCAGAGACCGGAGAAAGGTATTGGAGTTTCATGGCCTGAGGCTGCGTACACCGGAACAGGATTTCCAAATCACTTTTATTTGGGCTACGACTACTACCGTCATTATTTTCCTATGATGGCCCTGGGCCGCTATCTACAGGGGGTTCTTCAAAACCGGATCTAAAGGTCAGTCGCCCCACATACATTCGGCACCATGGAGCTTGGTATGTACCTCCCTGATTGCATACGGAGTACTTAGTTTCCAATAGTACCTTAGGTTCATCTGCAGCCATATCTAAACCCTGTGCGATATCGTATTGACAGCTAAAACCAATCAATGCTCTATTCACAGTTTCCTATAGCACTCAGGTACGCTACCACTTGTCGTAAATACAAAATAAGCAAGTATGGATCGTACCATGTAGATAGCGCGGTCCCTCGCACTTGCAATTAAGAATGTGACCAGGTAGCACAAGCCACAAACACCCACATCAGTGACACAGGATGCAGTGACGCGTCACATATGGCCGTCTATCACATCCAATCCCTCTATTTCCCTGTTTCTGGGCAATAAGATACGAAGTTGCCAAGGCACCATGCCTGCCACCCCTCATTCCCCATTCCCCTCACACAAGGAAACAGGTATACCTGCTTCCTGGAATGTGATCCTTCACATGGATTCCTCCCTCTTAGTACCCCATTCCAAAAAGAAAAGAGATCAGACACATACCTAGGTACTCTGTGCCTGCCCACCCTCCCAACACAATCCATCTCCACTACCCCCTACCCCCCAACGAAGATCTATACATACCTCAACTACTCAGTTTTCTGATTTGGTTTTATGGTGACCTTGATTAATTGACCATGACTCTCTTCTCCATATTCAATCGCAACCAGCGACCGAAAACAGTACCCACAGATAGAATCGTCCCCCTCCGGTACTGGGATGATCTAGATTATCTCCGTCGGCTCTGTCATGACTTTACCTTTCGGTTTGATGATGTGTTGGATGTTGCGAAGCTGGAGGGGGCATTGGCACGACTGATGGAGATAGGGGACTGGGGACAGTTGGGGGCGAGGTTGAGATTAAATGTATGACTTCCTTTCCCCCCACCACATCCCCCGAATACTTCTTCCTTTGAAAGGATGACTTCGATAGGGGGGCTGGGAGTACTTGACTGAATGTGTTGGTTTGGGTTGGGTGTTTAGGATAGTGGACATCTCGAGTATCATGTTCCGGCGGAGTATACCAAAACCAGACCGGGGTTTAACTTCACCACGACTGAGTATGGGTTACGTATTGGGGAACATCCGCTGGGGTCGTAGTTGCCGAAGTCAGGACAGGATCAGTCGGTGCTGTTGCCTTCGCCGGCATTGTTTGCGCCGTTGGTCCGGCATGCGGATAGTCCGCGGGAGTTGGCGGATTGGATATACTCGGACCGGCCTCAGTTGCATATTCACGTTGCGCTGTTTGAGGATGCAACGCTTGTGACGATCAGTTATGTGCATACGCTGTTTGATGCGATTGCACGGACTACGTTCTTCAAGGCGTGGATAGCTGTTCTTAGGGGAAGAGAGGATGAGGTGCCGGATTTCATTCCGTTCGATCATGACCCGCTCTGTACCTTGGGATCGAGTGCATCTGCCCAGAGGTATAGTAACTTTGGACGAGTGGTTCGCGGGGTGGGACTGGTCGTTTTTGGCCTGCGGTATTTGTTTGACCTGTTGTGGTTCTGGAAGGAGGAGGAGCATCCGATCCGTTTACCGGGGCGATGTGTGGACAGGCTGAGGGAAACGGCGCGGAAGGAACTCGCTGCTGCCACTCCGAGCGGAGGGGAGGCGCCCTTTGTGAGCGAGGGCGATGTCGTAGTGGCCTGGTGGGTGAGGACTATGGTCACGGCCTTGAACCCGCGGCCGCATCGAACCATCATGGTGATGAACGTGTTCAATGTATGGGCGCTTTTTGACGAGTGGTTCCCGACTGGCGGTGCCGGATTCATAGGGAATGCCTTCTTCTATTCTTACACCTTGTTGGTTGCGAACCAGGTTCTTCAGGATACTAAGCTCGGGCATGTGGCTTCCAGGAACCGTCAGGCGCTCATGGAGCACCGAACCAGGGACCAGGTTCAAGCAATGACCGCCATCCAGAGGGCATCGTTGACGCGGACCCCGCCGGTTGTCGGAGATGCGAATCTGCTCTTCATGGCCTGTACTAACCAACATAAGGCCAGATACTTTGAACTGGACTTTTCGGCGGCGGTGGTCTCCCCTGGTCTGCCGTTGAGTGAAAGACCACATGCCCTGGGTAGACCGTCCTATATCAACGACATTGAGCATTGTCGAGCATATCCAACTCGTAATGTGGTTCGGATAATTGGGAAGGATGCTGCGGGCGATTATTGGCTTTTGTTCAAGACTCGACCTGCGGCGTGGCCAGCGATCCATAGACAGTTGATGGATTTGCTCAAGATAGATGAGCGAGAGTGAGATGTCCCGCTAAGACCCAGATGTTCTGTAGCTCGATCCGCCAGAATGGAGGATGTAGAATGCTTTAATCCACGTGATAATCGTATCTACCTCCCTTTAAATAGCCCGGTCCCCCCCGAAAGGAAGAAAGATCAGTGTGTACCTCGACTAGGATGAGAATGCGCGGTCAGGCCATCTCACTCCGCACCATCCGGCCTACTACTGGCAAATCTCGCGTGGCAGAGGAAGTCGAGTCCCAGATCCAGATTGAGCGCAGCACTGTCAGCTTCTTCTCCATTTACCGATATGCCAACACATCGCAGATATGGATGCTGTTGCTATCGGCGTGTTGTTCGGTGGCTGCGGGCGCAGCAATGCCTCTCGTGACAATCGTGTTTGGGGCATTAGTTAATGAATTCATCAACGGAGAGGAACATGCTCCACATGAGATTCGGGATAGGGTTCAGCATCTCACGCTCTTCTTGGTATATATCGGTACGCAGACCTCTGAATTGATTGAATCTTCCTGTCTTCTGACTCGACGGCCAGCAATCGGGTCATTGGTCACCACCGCCATGAGCACCTTGGGCTTTAATGTTATCGGAGAGCAGATTACCCGCCATCTGCAGCAGGAATATCTCTCTTCGGTCCTGCAGCAGGATATGGCTTATTTTGATGTAATTGGAACTGGCGAACTCACCTCCCACATAGATCAGGACATGAAATTGATTCAGACTGGCATCTCCCAGAAAGTGAGCGACCTTCTTTCCGGTCTGTCCGGCTTCGTGGTTGCCATTACTTGCGCATTCGTACGGAACTGGCGCTTTGCAGGCATCATGATTTCTGAGCCGATCACCCTGATTCTACTTGTGGGGGTGATGGGGTGTTGGCTAAGCGTGATGCAGCAAGCGGACTTGGCTGAAGGTGTGAGAGCCGACAATTTAGCCCAGGAAGTGCTCAGTGCAATGAGAAGCGTGATTGCCTATCGAAGCCAGGAAAGGTACGCCAAGAAGTACCAAGAGGCATTGCGGCGCCCAGCAGCCCTGAATTTCCGGGAGCGATTGATTTTTGGGGTTATTGTTGCGGGATCTTTCATGACATTGCACTGGGGAAATGGGTTAGGAGTATGTTGATGGTTCCACTTTGTCGATGTAGATCGATGGGTTGCTGACGATACCTCTAGTTCTGGCAGGCAGATCACCTCATCCGCCAAGGGCGTTGTACCATTCCAGAGGCTTTGGCAATTCTGTATGCAATGGCCGTTGCAGGTGGCATGTTATGCCAAGCGTTGCCATCAATTGTCAACATCACCCAGGCCAAAGCCGCAGCTAGTCGGGTGTTTCCAGTCATTGAGCGGGATTCGCCAATAAACCCGTTGGTGAGTGTTGGGAAGACATGCAATCAGGTCCGAGGAGAGATCCGGTTGGAAGACATAGACTTTTCGTATCCTTCACGGCCGGAACGGACTGTATTGAAGGGGGTCACTTTCGATGTGCCTGCTGGCCACACAGTAGCCTTGGTGGGACCATCAGGATCCGGAAAGTCAACAGTGTTTGCCCTTTTAGAGCGATTATACCAGCCACTGGGTGGCCGTATCACGCTGGATGGTGAATCGATCGATGAGATGAATGTCTCGTGGTTGAGATCCCAGATTGGGTATGTCGGCCAAGACGTCACTTTGTTCCGTGCATCAGTGCATGACAATATTGCGTATGGACTTCCCAGAGCTGCCGCAGAGGTGTTTAAAGACAGTTCTCCTTCGACTTTGAGCATTATTTACTGATTCCCGAGAACAGAAAATGGACGCATCTGAGGTCCGAAGACTCGTGATTCAAGCTGCCGAGACTGCCCAGATACACTCTCTCATTGGCAATCTGCCCCAAGGTTACGACACCTTTATAGGAGCAAACGGATCGAGTCTTTCTGGGGGTCAGAGGCAACGGCTTGCCATCGCCCGTGCAATCATTTCTCAACCAGCGATTCTACTGCTAGATGAGGCCACAGCTGCACTGGATAGTCAGTATGAAAAGGAGGTCCAGGAGGCTCTCAGCAAGGCCGCCTCCGAGCGAACCACCATGATAATAGCCCACCGGCTGTCAACAATTCAAAATGCTGATATTATTGTTGTCATGAAGGACGGCCAGGTTGTGGATCAAGGTTCTCACTCAGAATTAATGGCCACGTCCACCATGTACCAAGAACTAGTGAGACAGCAAGCACTCCGGCCATTTCACCGATCAGAGGACTGTCTTACTAGCCAGTCACCAAACCTAGCTTGCGACCATAAAGAGCATCCCAGGGGCCTCTCAGTCAATGCCAATGCCCTAGACATGCCGGAAGATGCTCCATTGCCAGCACTGTCACAAAGCAACAGCATCAAGCACGTTTGGCAACTTAATAAGCCAGAGTTGACCTACACTATCGCAGGCGTCCTTTTCAGCGTTTTGGCTGGAATGACATATCCAATACAAGCAGTCTTCTTCGGCAATGGAATCATGTCCATAATTAACCCTAGTCTGAGCACTGGTGGACACAACGTTCGCTTTTGGGCCCTGATGTATCTTGCTCACGGTATCGCCGTGTTTGTGGTCTATTGCATACGAGGATACTGTTTTGCTGTGTCTGCATCTCAGTTATGTCTCCGAGCTCGTTCATGTTTGTTCAAATCTTTGACTCTGAAGGACCTCGCCTTTTTTGAAGACAAAGATCACTCGACGGGGGCTTTGGTCAGCTTTCTTTCATCAGGAATCCCGAGAATCACCGGTGTCTCGGGAACATCACTTGGACTCGTGGCCGAAAGTCTAGTAATGCTTGCGACGGGAATTATAGTTGGATGCATTTTTGGATGGAAACTTGGTCTTGCCGCGACCGCAACGGTTCCAGTGATAGCTGTCTCCACATTTCTGCAGTATTATATTGTGGCAAAGGTGCGGAAATACGTCAGGCGCGACACCAATGCTGTGGCCATTGCACATGAGGCTTTTTCTGCCGTCAGGACCGTGACTGTCCTAGGTTTGCAGAGGACCATCAACGAATCCTTTCAAAGGGAAAGCCATCGAGACAGCCAGCGCGGGTATTGGGTCATGTGTGCCACCATATATGCATGTACCACGTCCCTCCGTATAGCAAGCATTGCTTTTGTGTTCTGGTACGGGGGCACCCATCTCATCGCAACTGTGGAGTACAACGTCCAGCAGTTCTTCATTTGCTTTGCAGCAACGGTGTGGGGGTCTCAGTCTGCGTCTGCTCTTTTTGCACACGCTCCTGACATTGCAGGCGCCCATGCTGCTGCTGCTCGACTGGAGGAGCTAATGCAAACCAGTAGCGCACAAACCTCCGGCAAGAAGAACACAATCTCATATGCCAAGGTGCCAGGTATGACAGACGACCTTGCACTAAGACACGTGCATTTCAGATATCCGAGCCATCCATCTCGTTTAGCATTAAACAATGTTACTTTCAACGCTCCAGCCGGTACCTTTATTGCTCTTGTCGGGGCCACAGGCAGCGGAAAAAGCTCTGTGATTAATCTGGTGGAGCGCTTCTATGCTGCCGACTCTGGCGAGATAACGCTTGGAGGTAAGCCCCTTGGGAAGTATGATCTGAACAGCTATCGGGGCTATCTGGCACTGGTAGACCAGAACCCTTGTCTGGTTGGTGAAGATCTGCGCGAGTGCCTGCAAAGTGATGAGCGGGTTATCTCAGACGAGGAGATCCTGGCTGCTCTGGAAAGCGTAGGGCTAGCTGATTTTGTGGTGAGTGACTTCATCACGCCAGACTTTCGTCTCTTTCTGTCTTCTAACCATCCGTATGTCAGATATCCCTCCCTCAAGGTCTCAGCACCCCAATCCTAGCGAACGGATTGACTCTTTCTGGAGGTCAGCGTCAGCGCATGGCTATCGTGAAGGCTCTCTTATGCGGCCCACAAATCCTGTAAGAACTTTTGCCATACACAGGTACTGTTCTCTAACACTTCATGGCAGTCTGCTTGACGAGGCGACCTCGGCGCTGGACACGGCCTCAGAGAAATTAGTGCAGGACGCAGTTCAACGCGTAATGGCAGGCCGAACTATCATCGCTGTTGCTCATCGATTTAGGGCGATTGTCGACGCCGATGAAATTCTGGTCTTCGATCGTGGACGGATTATCGAGAGAGGGACCCACGAGCAGTTGATGCAGGTAGGCGGAAAATATTGGCAGATGGCTATATTACAGCAAGTGATGGGGGAAGACTGAACTTGGCCTCCTTCCCAGTGTAGTCGGACCGGAATAGGAAGGATGCGGGGAACAACAGGAGACGAAGGACCAAGGACAGCAGCACATTGAGAATGTGTACGGAGTACTCCGTAACTACTAAGGTTGTGAGTACTAGTAAGCCATACATCGGAAGTCACTGCTTGACTCAAAATGGCAAGAACCCTATAGGTCGGCGCGTTTTCGTTCGGATATATTACTCCGTGCGAAGTATCTTCCAGTTCTTTGTTGTTAAGCACAAAATAAGATATGTATACGGGGTACGGATAGGATGCCATCTACTCCGTGCTCCGTATGCATCATAAAACTAATTAGAGCATCTTATGCACCATCCGGTATAGTAATCTCCCTAGAAGCATAGTTAACCCCGCTGAATCAGCAAGGCATAACCCCTAACATCAACTATACCGTAAGCACCAATTCGAACCACGAAACCCAAGACCCTACGCATCATCAGGTGACCGACCGGCGTGTCTTGGCAGCCCGAAACCAGACCAGTCAAGTGATCCCCTCCGGTACGATTACGAGCGGAATCACCGGATGCCCTCTCTTTTTTCTCCCTTGGCAGACATGCCTGATCCTTGGCCGCTGAGGACAAACTGTAAGCGCTTACAGCCCAGCTACCTGATAGGTGTCTACCTAGGGAATAAGTACAATAGTGGCACTCCGCCCTGTAGGCAACAATCAATACTTGTCGGAGGAGGTACTAATTGATAGCTCCGAGATTGGCAGGGTCCTGCTTCCTGTGCCAAGATGCGTCGGGGAGAATGGCCTGCTTGGGTTTGGCCGTAAGACTACGGTCGGTGGGGACGAGCCAGGGGGTAACTTGGGTTCTTCCGGAAAGGGGTTCGTTACCGTAACGGCTTTAGAGGCGGGTGTATGGTGGTCGTATGACCGTCGGGGGTGGTATCCTCCCTGAGTCCCTTGGGTGGTCCTCAAGAGGCTCTCAGAACCGGATTGTTTCATGTGCGCGATAAGATTCTGACATATTGCGGAGGCTATCATCTTTTGGTCCTAGGATGGGGTAGAGAGGACCTGTGGAGCGGGATGGTCACGGAGTACTGAGTAGTACTGAGATGTTTTACGGATCCTGTGGTGTGTTGTTGTTAACTTGCTGGGCGATATGCAGGGCGTAGGGCAGCTGTCGGCCCTACGAGGTGCGTGATGTATCTATCTAGTATCTATGGAGTATCTACCGAGTACTAAAGTACTTCCTGATGCCCCTCAGTCTCGGCAGATAAGTGTGCCAATCAGTGATGAGTGAAAGTACCTTGGGCTTGCAGCAGGATCGGGATCCGAATGGATGATTCGTGCCAGCGCAGTGCCGTGGGCTTTAGGGAGTTTCGACGCTGCATGTCATCATCTGAGATCGTCGTGATACCGCCCGGCCTCCGAGTGCCCTGCTTCGGGAGCACACGAACATCCCCATAATGAGATTTTTCCAAAGTTGTGTAACTGCTGCACGGAGAGCAAGCGCCATCTACATGCAGAGGCACTCAACCGATGTAGCCCTATGATGCTGGAGGGGGTGGTACGGTACGTAACCCGCTGGTACGGGAATCGTTCGGGTATGTAACCTGGCTGGGGGAAGTGGACCCGCGCAGTGGAGAGAAACAGACAGGTCGGGAAAGATGGCACGCGAGGCCGACTTCTTCTGCCCTTCCTTGAATCCATCCATTTCAATCAATTATGGAGCGCCGCCCGGTGGATTCTTTGGTGGTTGCCTGGGAGCTGTCATGGCCCGAGGGAGGAATTTGCTTTCTGTTTTCCCGACAAACATCGCTCTTTGGCCTTCGTGGGAATGGGGTGCTGGCATGCCTGTGTTTCAGCACCACCAACCAGCTCCCTGTCGTCATGGGCTGCCATCCTTGCCGATCCGACCTGCAGAGCGTCAACCCATGGAAAGGGTCCAAGGCCTATTCCCAACTGGAAATGTAATCTCAATGGGGCCCTCAGTGGGCCTCAGGTGTCGCCCCGCTTGGGTGGTTGAAGTCACCGTTAGTACGGAGTAGTATTCGATTCTATTCTTCCCCCCCAAAGGCGCAAACCTTTTTCGTCCTGCTGCTCTGAACGGACTCGCCGGATCTCCCGGTTGCTGTTGCTGGCTCGTGTGGTTCTCGAAGCCAGCTAGTCGGACCATCAAGAACTGATCCCCGTGCTTTCTCTCCTGATCTTCCTTTCCTTCCCCCAAGTCTTCCCCCCTTGTCTCGTCCATGCCTGATTGGCCTGTTGAAATTGATTGGTACATACTTGGCCGCTCCCATTGCTGGCACCGGTGGCCTTCTTTCTCAGTTGTCAGATGCACATCCCGGATTTAACAGTTCAACATATGCGACCTTAACACCCTTGCACGACATTTTCGCTGTCCGACCGAATTCCCTGTATAACCTGGATCTCCCTAACACCAGTTGACACCACCTAGCCGGCCCAGAATGCAAGCAGAGGCATGATTAACCTCTCTTGCACCGCACCGACACACACCAAACTCACACTACCTGACTCCTGCCGCCGGACATGAACCCCCGGGGCCTGCTGGCCCTCGTCACCTGCGCGATCTGGTCAGTGGTGGCCACGGCGTACCCCAGCACCGCAGATCACAGCGCTCACGGTAGTTTCATAAATCGCAATGCCCCAGACCCGCTGTGGCAGAAGTACGGTCTAAACCGATCAGACGAGTTCAAGTACTTTCACGAACCGGGCCGCGACGACACGCTAGGCCACTATGATTCGCGATTCTTCCAAGGGGAGCCAGTTCCGGACGAGGAGCGCTCCATCACGTTGACACATATGATCCGAGCGTATCTGAACTTCTTTGCGGATAATGGGCTGGAGACTTGGATTGCGCATGGCACGTTGCTGGGGTGGTGGTGGAATGGCAAGGTGGGCTATCTTGATACCTTTGGCGTAGTCAACCATTTGTTCTCACATTTATTAGATCATGCCCTGGGACTGGGATATCGACACACAAGTCATGGATACCACCCTATTACATCTCGCCGACCGCTTCAACCAGACCGTTGTGCAGTATACCACCACCAACCCCGCTGTCGAGCGGCGGTACCTCCTCGACGTGAATCCTTGGGCGCGACAGCGTGATCGCGGCATGGGACTGAATATCATTGATGCGCGCTGGATCGACATCAGCACAGGGTTGTACATCGATATTACGGGGTTGAGCCGACTTCAGGCCGACAAGCCCACGGAGTGGGAGTGTAAGAACGGACACAAGTACCAGACAGAAGACATCTATCCGCTGCGGACATCAACTTTCGAAGGCGTGACAGCCAAGGTGCCGTTCCGGTATGATGCAGTGCTGACGGAAGAGTATTCCAAGAATGCGTTGACGGCAACGCAATTCCATGAGTGAGTGGATTTCTCTACCTTGAGGGGTGGACATGCTGACATGTGACAGTCACACTTGGGATCCGGACCTCGAGGAGTGGGTACCAGACGAGCCGGCTGCAAAGGACGACCGGCAGTACGAGTGAATCAGCCATATTGGCTGCATATATATTGATCGACTGTGTCATACAACGTATAATTTGTGGTCATTCTTGGTATATATTGGGATTGGAGTTCCGGGGGCAGGCGGCGTTCTGGACAGTCAATTCATTGCAAACATTGCCCGAATGGGTGAGACGAGTAAAGCAGTGCACACAGTACCAGCGTAGGTCTAGACAAACCAGCGACTCACCCACCACTGCATACCCCAGCTGGGCGATGATCAATCCCTGAAAATACTCATAATTGTGGGGGTGCTATATTCCAGACGCGGTCACTATACTCCCGACAGATGAAGAACCAACCGAAATTGAGCGCGACGAGCCACGGCGTCAAGCTACACAGTACGGTACCTGGCCACTGCCGGTGCTAACCCCATGCGACTAGTAGCCCCTTCGACTATCACCACGTGACAGCAGCTATCAGCTTATCGCTGACAAACAACATCGAACTCCATCGAAGACCATCACAAGCTCTTCCTCCGTTGTACTCCGTACTCGGTATATAAAACATCCTCGCCTCGTTCTCCGCTTCGCCCCATTCCCCAACCAACGCGCCAGCTACAACCAACATGTCAGACCCCTCAGACCCCAACCATGACGACCCCTCCAACAAGGACGACCCCCCTCTCACCCTGAAAATCCACCACCGCAACACCCCGCACGAGTTCACCCTCCCCCGAATCAGCACCCTCACCGACCTAACCGACCTCATCTTCACAACTCTGCTCATCCCCCCAACAAACCAAAAACTCCTCATCTCCCCATCCCCAGGAACCCTCAAACACCCCTTCCCACCGACCCCTCTCACCGACCTCCTCCCCCTCAACTCCCCGCGCCTCAAACTCACCCTCCTCGGCACCCCAACCAAAGACATCGACACCCTGAACGCACACTCCACCGCCCAGAAAACCCTCGCCGAGGCACGTCAGCGCGCTCACGCCCTCTACGGCGCAAAACCCACCCCCAGCAGCACCGCCACCAACGTCTCCCGCATCCATACCCTCTCCAGCACCTCCTCTGCTTCAAATTACACTTTCCATCGTCTTCTCCCGCTTCCTCACCTCCCCAACCCGAACAAATCTCTCACGTTCCTGGAACGACTCCGCGCCGATCCCGGAATCAAATCCGCCATGCAGAAACACAAGTTCAGCGTGCCGTTGCTCACGGAGATGGATCCGGCGGAACACACGACGAGTGAATCGCGGACGCTCGGATTGAATAGGAATAAAGGGGAGGTGATTGAGTTACGGTTGCGGACGGATGCGTATGATGGGTATCGGGATTATCGCACGATACGGAAAACGTTGTGTCATGAGTTGGCGCATTGTGTGTTCAGTGAACATGATCGGGATTTCTGGGATTTGACGGCGCAGATTGAGAAGGAGGTCGAGAGGGGCGATTGGACCAAGAGCGGGAGGACGGTGGCGGATCAGGAGTTCTACAATCCGGGAGATTGGGAGGGGGTTAGGGAGAATGGGTTGGTGGTGGATGATGCGGGGTGGACCGGTGGGGAGTTTGTATTGGGGGGCCAGGGTCGGGGTGGTGGGAGGACGGAAAGTCGGAGGGAGGTTCTGGCCAAGGCGGCGGAGGAGAGGATGAAGAGGGCGAGGGAGAGAGAGGGGGAAGGGCAGTCGTGACGGGACCAATGTACGGGGTGGGATGGTTGTATGTGCGTAGATGTTTGTTTTGTTGGATATACATAGCATGATATACTCCGTACGATTTGTTTTAATGACATGATATGACGATTTACACCTGCTCGTTCACCAACAAGCCCGCCATTCCTTGGCCCGTGCCAATGCACATGCTCGTCACTAGCACCTTCTTCTTTGTCCGTCGCGCCTCGCTCAGGACCGTGCAGATCTGGCGAGCTCCCGTTGCGCCCAGCGGGTGGCCCAGAGCAATGGCGCCACCGCGCGGGTTCACCTTGGCATGCTCCAGACCCAGATTGTTGAGGCAGTACACGGCCATCGAGGCAAACGCCTCGTTGATCTCGTAGATGTCGATGTCATCCTTGCTCAGGTTAAACTTGGACAGCAGCTTGGGGATTGCTGCAGTCGGGCCAATACCCATGACACGCGGCGGCACTCCCGCAACGGTGGCTCCGCAGAACTTGGCCAGGATAGGCTGGTTCAGCTCAATAGCCTTGGAGCGGCGCATGAGAAGAACAGCGGCCGCTGGAACACACATTAGCATGGCCCGTACAATCGACTACCACAAAGGACAACTTACCACCATCCGTAACCTGACTCGAGTTGCCTCCCGTGCTCCGATTGCCAAACTCCGGAAAAGCAGGCCGGATCTTGCCCAGTGCCTCCGCCGTCGTTCCATATCGAACACCCTCATCCTTTGTCAAAGTAACCTGCTTCACCTCCCCAGTCTTCGGATCTTTGACCTTCGTCGTAATGGGCACAATCTCATCGTCGAACCATCCCGCCTTTTGCGCCTCCTCCGCTCGCCGGAAAGACTCGGCCGCATACTTGTCTTGCTGCTCGCGTGTGATAGAAAAGTCCGCCCCGACGTTCTCCGACGTCTGTCCCATTGGTTGCATGCAGTCCGCCGCCTCCTGATTACGGAGGACCTCCTCGTTGAACGGACGCGGCAAGCGGTCGCCACCGGCCGACATCAGCTCTGCACCGACGGCGATACCAACGTCAATGGCACCGAGCTGGATCTGATTCGCAATATCCTGCACAGCCTTGAGACCCGACGAACAGAATCGGTTCACGGACGATCCACCGGCGGTGTGAGGGATACCGGCTGCGAGGGAGGCAGCCCGGACAAGGTAGGCCGCTTTACCGTCACCGACCTAGCGTAGAGGGCATTAGTGCCGATCGCGATGTAAGAAAAAGAAAGCGCTTACATTTCCCAGGCACACGTCCTCAACCAGGGCGGGATCCACTTTAGATTTGGAGAGTACCTCCTTCAACAGCGCGTATACCATGTAGTCCAGCTCCGTATCCTTGAACCCACCCTTGCCAGCCTTTGTAAGGGGCGTGCGTAGCGCGAGGGTGATGACTACATCATCTGGGTTCTTTTGAGTGCTGCTGCTGATTAGCCGTGACTTTTGCCGGCTCTGACCTATGCTTACATGGCGGCGAGTCCGCTGCTTCCTGACGGCTTCAGGTGACTGAGAATGGAGTTTAGACGATCTGCTGCCATGGTGTTCTGTGTCCTGTCCAGGGGTTGGTGAGCTGACAGCACGAAAGAGCGGAGATAAGCGGAGCAATCACAAGGCGGAGACCGGGCAGGGGGTGGCCAGTCAGAAGTTCGGGTGTAGATACGCAGCTGGAGTTGATTTAGGGGATGAATCCGAAAGATCAAGACGATGAAAGGAGAAGGCGAAAGAGGAGAGGGGGAAGAGGGATGATATAATGGACCGAAGCAGCGGGTGGTCTTTCAACAGTGCAGCCGAGCAGCCGAGGTTGTTTCCTTTCTGAGACACCCGCCCAGTACTTCCCAGCTCGGCCCAATTATGCGACGGGCGAGGTACCCCGGTTACCCCAGTCCACTAACTACCCAGACCCCTCGATAAGCTGCGCTGATTCTGCAGATTGAGACCCCACCGTGTTTCTAACTAGCTATGAATATATGTACAGTCTTCAGACTTGACGGGTGCGACATCCCGCCCGAATTAGCAAAAGCAGTCCAAACACATTAACACCAATCGCCTTTCCATTACCGCCGCCCATCCTTCCTTCAAAAATCCTTCAAAATTAGTCCAGCATTTCCGTGCCTACATATGATGGGGTTCCTCGTTGCTGATAACGCTGCCAATCTCGGACCAACTAGCCGGCGTAGCTGCACCGGACCGCTCAAAGTCGCTCAGAGTGCCCTCCGACCCATCCACCGCAGACTCATATATCTGACTGAAGCTACCAGCTGTAGACGGCGTGGACGGGCGCTGGTCGGGGTGGCCCTCGGAATCCAAGTCCGACAGATCCGAAAATGGAGATCTCAAGTCCCTACTGGTGTCGTTGACTGCATGACCATCCGGATAAGCATAAATGATCTGAGAGTATTCTTCAGTGTGGCTGGAAGCAGCTGAGCCGGGCCGATGGTAGCCACCCCATTCTACGGGGCGCTCGCCCTCTTCGGGCTGGGAATGCATCGAGGCCGCAAGCTTGTCCGGGGCTTCCGAAGTAGGTGTGAACTCAACCAGAGAGGGAGCATGGGAGCCAGGCTGCGGGATGGCAATCTGCAGACGATTTCCGATGTTGTTCAGGCTATCCGTTTCAATGAGGGGGGTCGAGTTCCCTGTCTGCTTGCCGCGTTGAACCGGCTGTGACGTCGTCACCTCCACCGCAGTCGAGTTCGCCATGGAGTCATTTGCGTGTGGCTCTGGACTGTCCAGAAGTCGACCGCTGTCATCCACCAGGGCATCGAAGCTGCTCGCTGGTGTACCTCCTCGAGCCTTGCGACGTGCTTCGAGCAAGCTGCGCCGCCGTTGAAGCTCTTCCACCGCTAGCCGCCGTCGCTCCTCAGCCGCGGCACCCACCTCCTCCGTCATCGAGATATCCTGCCTAAAAGCGGCCGCGTCTCGTGGATTAATCTCATCGCCAAGATGGTGTAGTGCCAGTGCGAGTTTTCGCCGTGAGTTGTTCACCCATTGTCGGAACTGAGGCGATTCGTAGACCGCGATACCTGCAGCGACAAGCGCCGACACAGTGATGATAATCCCTGAGATGTCAGTACCACCCCTTCCGAGTAGAAAGCACTCGAGTAGAATCGCCTTTTCACATCAGAAAAGAAAAAGCTACATTGGAATCACGGCACACACACGATGCCGATCGAGCCGGGCTCGAGCAGCTCATAGATCATTGAATGCATTTACTGATAAGCACACCGCCCGGGCAACGCAGCAAAAGCAGTCTGTCAAAGTGGTAGGGAACAATGAAAAGACCATCTAGAGCAAGCATACCTTTGGCAACCGGAGTAGGCATTGCGAGGCACCCTCAGTCGCGTCAGAGTTAGAGCTGGGGAGAAGCAGGCAGCCGTGAGTGTCGGCGTCACGACGCCCTTGTCATCCTGCCTTTCCCCGCCGCCCGACACATGACCCGCCCCTGCCCTTATCCGTCTGCCCTACCTGCCCGCCCGATCCGGCATCCCGCGTTTCCCCTCCGCCCGACTTCAAAACATAACAACAACAGCAGCAGGAGCAGCAGCAAGCAAGAACAACAACTTCATCTTCGTGCACCCCCATAGTCACTGCGACACCCGATAAGCGAGATCACTACCACCTACCATGTCCCGCCAATCCTCTATGGCGCAGCGTCCCCTCACGCTTACAGAGGAGCTTGAGAAGCTCGAGCAATCCATCACGTTGACCCTCCAGGGTACCTACCATCACCACTTGATAAAGCTCCTCCCAGGTCCCCTCTAACCTCGTCCTACTAGAAATCGACCACAACTTCAGTCAAGCCCATCACATTGTCACCACCAGTATTCTCCCCCTCGTCGAACAATACGCGGAGAGTTCCCGTGACGTCTGGGAGGGCGCAAAGGTATAAACATATGCATATCCCCGGCAACCACCCCTGCAGGCCAATTGACATCCCATCCAGTTCTGGAAGCAATTCTTCGAGGCCAGTGCCAACGTCTCCCTCTCGGGCTACGAAGAAAAGCCCACCGGTGACACCACCCTGCAAGAAAATACCGCTCTCTCCGCGGAAGAAGACCCAACTGCTTCCGAAAGCGTCGCGGACGAAAGCCACCACGAACTCCACCGAGGCGACGACCTCGAACTCACCTCCCTCAGTCTCTCCTCCCACAGCACGCCCCGCGTTCCCGCCCATCACAATCCCTATAACAACGATGATACAACCATAGCCTCCATCGAACACCCCTCCCCCGATACACGCTTCCAGCACGATGACATGGACGACGACGACGAAGACGACCCATACCTGCCCACCACTCCGGCCAAATACTCTACCTCCAGAACCCATCAATACACTGACGAGTACTCCCATGATCAATCCCACACGCCCATGTCCTCATCGCCATTCATCCCTCCAGCCGAAAATCCAATCATGCATCAGATGCCCGACAAAACATACCGCGTGCAAGCCACCCCGCTTGGAAAGGGATACGGATACGAGGCGCGGCCCAAGTTCACCGTTACACCGAAGACGAAAACCAAGTATGCGTACGATGACTCCCCGATCTCCAGTCCCGAGCCGGAGGCGCCGCAACTGCATGCGGAGATCTTTTCATCACCTATGAAGGGCGCGGAGACGCCGAATACAGGTCGCAGAAGGAGACCGAGCGCAAATCACCTTCGCATTACCCCGAAGCCTGGATTGAGTGTGCTGACACCTGCGCGGGGCGGTGGCGCGAGACGATCGGCATGGGATAGCGATGATGATTTTGATGACGGGGATGAGGATTTGGGCCCGAGCCCCCCGAAGACGATGCAGTTCCATATTCCGCAAAGCCGGTTGATGAAGACTCCTGGTGAGTACACCTCTTCCACTATCGCTCGCTATTTCCCAATTGGTGAATACTTACATTCAAAACAGCCAAGGAAGCGTCAAAGCGCATCGTAGAAGACCTCCTCTTCACCGCCGGCGCCAACGATACGACAGATGACCTGCCGGACGAGCAAAGCCCCAGTGTCATCCGACGGGTTGAGAGACTCGAAGACGAGACTTTCTAGAAACGATGAATAGTCTTCGAATATACACAGTATACTCCTTCCGCCTGTGACGTATACCCCGCATTCATTCATCCATCCTCGTAACCAATTGGAAACTTCCCATGTAGAACGAGATTGAAATGATACGACCCAACAACAATTATTAGTCAATTAGTACATCACCGTCACTCCTAGTCTACCATATCATATCATACTCCACACCATACCATACCGCACCTTATCATTCCTACCACCTCCTGGTATCTTCCGGCGCCAACGCTCGCACACTCTCATCTGATCTATCTGATCTCATCCGAAACACAGCAACTACATACAAATCCCAAAGCATTGAGATACCTGACCGAGACCAGGGTATACCAGACGGCGGGCCACTCAGCGTACAGGATACGATACGAGACCGACTTCTTCAGCAACGACGACATCAACAACAACACCATGACTAAGAACTAGCTTCGAACCTGCGGGATACAATTGAGCGGTGGGAAAATGGGGCAGATTACATGTGGGTAGTAGAGGCTTGGACACATAAGGGTATCGACGGGGGCAAGGTGATGACGATGATGGTGGAAGCAGGGCTGATATGAGATTGACGAAGGATGAAGGGGATGGGATGGGATGGGGATGGGGAGCGAATAAAAGGACCAATCGATCAATCACCCAGGCCGCCGCGATATATGTACAACTGTCATGAAATCGACAGGGTTCGGGGTATTCTAACGAACAAGGAAATGGAATGAAGTGGGTGTCCTTTTGGGAGCCAAAAAGGGGAGGAGCGATTAAGAAGCAAAAGAAAGGGGAGGGAAGAGCGCCGTCCACATCCTCGTTCATCCTGGACCAGGCCGGAGATGGCGGATGACGAGACGGGACGGGACTAGAATTCTACCCCTGCATACCCATGAAGATCTCCTGACAGTTCTCGACCAAAAACTTCAAAACCTCGTTCTTCTTTTGCACATCAGTCATCTCCCGTGCGAGACTCTCGGGCCGCATGATGGTTGGGGCAAACACCACGGCGATGTTCTGGCTGGTCATAAGGTTCTCCTTTTCGCGCTCAACCACGCGCCTCAAATGGAACACCAGGAACTCAAGCACATCCTGGTGAACGCGTGGCAGATCCCGAAGGCTCTTCTGTAGGCTCTCAATCCGAGCGGACTGAGAGGTGATCTCACCCGAATCGATGACTTTTTCGTAGACGTCAAACGTGATGAGCGGCATGGGCAGCTTGCGAAAGTACTGTTTCAATGCGGATGTCACGGCATGGATGTCAAGATCAGGGTCGGAAATATCGTAATCTTGTGGAGAGCGCTCAAAGCCTTCGCGAATGGTTTGAATCGCAGAACTGGCGCCGGACTTCCGGTAGATACCTTCCATGTCCATGCCTAGATTGACAGTTAGCCTCCCGAACACACGCCGATAACTGGCATAACATACCGCGTAGTTCAACTTCTTGAATACAACGCGTGATAATGGCAGGAATGATGCTCTTCTCCTGCTCCATACGCTGTTCCAAGTCGGTCCCAAAGAGGCCTGCGACTCATGTGAGTTTGCTGCTTGCCAACAAGTGGGGGACTAGATGCTTACCTCCAGGGGCAGGAGTTTCCGCCAGAGCAGGGACACTGTCGGTTTGCGGCATCCGGAGACCCGTTTGCTTGCTCCGCGGGTTACCGAAGAATCCAAAGCCGGGGCGACTTGGGTCCTGCGTTTGAGAGCGGGGCAGACCCGGATTGCCCTCTGCTGGCGCGTTTTCACTGGACATGAAGGCGCCTTTGAGACCTTTGGTGACGCCCTTGGCGACGTTCTGGCCTCCTTTCTTCCAGTTGAACTTGCGCGGCTGTCCCTTCCGGATGCTTACCACCTGGGGACCCGGAACGATCGTGGCCGTGGCCGGCTCAGATTCTTCTGAGATGTTCGTCGTCGCGACCGTGGGAACCAAATCGCTGTTGGCCGCCTTCAGAGCATCGATGGCCGACAGCGACTTCTCCTTGCCATGGGAGTAGATACCAAGTCCATTAGCGCCGCGGCTGCCGTCAGTCGGGTTAGCCTTGTAGAGCTCCTGGATCTGATGCACCAGCTGGTTGTTCAGCTCCGCCAGTTGGGCATTCTTCGAAGACAACTGCTCAAATTCCTGGAAGCTCTTGTCCTTCATACGGTTCAGATTCGCCAGTTCCTCTGCAGCATCGTTACGCTTCTGCACCAGTTCTTCGATCTGTGGTGTGAAACCCTCCTTCAGCTTTGAAATCGATTCCACGAACTCCCGCAACACATGGTTGGTCAGCTTGCCAAGGTCGAGAGAACCGCCGCCGCCACGCTTTTCCGCCTCGAGATGATCGGTCAGGACCGAGAGCTCGCGCATGGCGATCTCCTTCTGGGCGTCCAAGACCACCATGGTAGACCGCTTCTCATGTAGCTCAGTGTTGACCTGCTTAACTTCTGCGCTTGCGTTCAGCATCGCTTCCATCTCCGCAATCTTCTGCTCCCGATCAAATACGCGCTGCCGCTCCTTGCGCAGCTCGTTCCGTAGCCACGCCACTTCCTCCGGTCCCGCATTCTCGGGGGAGATAGCGGAAGGGCTTGCCAGGTCGGGCATCGCCCCAGATCCGTTGACAGGCGATTTGGGCCATTTGGCATCCCTTGATAGGCGAGATCCTTTGTCGCTGTAGGAACGGCCGTGGCGTACGGAGTTGGAGACGCGTCGAAGGAAAGACTCGCTTGTCTGCGCAGAGTTGCCGTCATCAGAGCCCATAATCCGGGCCATATCTTCCTCCATAGTGAAATCGGCGCCCCCACTATACCGCAGTAACGATGGAGAACCCGCACCATCTGTTTGGCGATAGGCCTCGACCTGCTGAAGGGTGCTGATTGAGTTGGGACGCACGGGAGGCTTAGGTTGTTCATTCACTTCGCTACGCGGGGTCCAGGCGGATTCACCGGTCCTTGGAGTACTCTTGCTGGCACCCGTCCGGTCCGTAGATCGTTCGCTCCACTGGTCGCTGGGGGTAACGGACGACGGGCGAGGGGATGTGCCGGCCTCCTTTCTCGGGGCCTGATGCAGCCTACCCTCCAGGGAGTCTGCCCGCTTGGGATGCTGTATGCTCGAAGAGGACAAGAAAGAGTGCGATGAGTCTACCGATCCCGTGGTTTCATGCAACCGACGTAGCTCGTGAGAAGGTCGAATCGGGAGTGTGGCAGTATTGTCACCCGCAGCTCCGTCTCTCTGGGCGGTCGCTGATTTAGTGCTTTCGGGGCTTGGTGTGGAGAAAGTGCTGGTCTCCTTACGACCCAAATCAGACCTGGAACTCCGAGCGGAGGCGGACCTGGCAGCACTCGTGCCGTTAGCGAGGTCATCCTGACGCCAACGCGCGGCGTCAAGATCGACGCGATCCCGGCCTTTTTCCTGGTACGCAATATGCGGAGACGAATTCTCCGATCCCTGAGGCGATTTCTGGTACGTTGTGGAAGGTAACTGTCCACGAGGGGGCCGTTGTTCTTCGGAGGGGTCAAACGCGACAGGAATTAAGAATTCTCCCCCGCTATCTGCTTCGGACTGGTGAATCATGGAGTGTCGATGGCTTCGGTAAGTGCTCGAAGGGAGGATCAGGTTATCTGCAACAAAGACCTCACGAATTAGACCACGTCCCAAAGCATGCCGTGCAGTTCACATGCTGTGTGGGCTCACTGACCTTGAGTATCGACAGGCGCGCGAGTAGCAGAAGAGCTTCTGCCCCTTCCTGCGTCCAGCGCAGGCGCAGCTCCTCGCAATGTTGCATCGGGGGTCGTATCTGAATAGGCATCTGCAGCTGGGTCGTCCGAGCCGTGAGATCTGGGTTCAGGTTCCTCTGAGGGCAGAGATGGAAGGGACTTGTCCAGTTTTATGCCTGGGGGCTGCTTCCTGGTGGGTGGAACATTCCGGTTTCGCTTTCTCCGCCGCTGCATGAGTGATTCATGGCAGTCCATACAGAATATACCCTGTGAAGTTCGGGCATAGCGCAGATTTTCGATCTTCCGTTTACAGTTCCGGCATCGAAAGCACTGTGCGCAGAAAGCTTGCTCGCCCGTCAGAATGGCAAGATCCTCGATTTTATTTCCACACGAGCTGCAGCTGTAGGTGCAGTTGCTGCAAATCAACGATCCGTCTCCGAGGAGTAGCAGGTGTGCGTCAGAATCGAGAAGGGTGCCGCAGGTGCTGCAGCAGAAACATTCAATGTGCCATCGATTGCCCGCTACACGGGAGAAAAAGGAGCGGTCAGCCACTTGTTGAGACATGAAGCCAGAAGACCCAATGCAAACCTACCAAGTTCGAAAGCCTTGCCCTCTTCTAGAATCTGTCCGCAGAGAAGGCTCAATTAGTATGCGATGCCCGCTTCTCCTCCAACCCGTGACTTATGCATACCTCTCCACAACCCTTGCAAGGAAATGGGATATCGTCCTGGTCCATCGGGGACTCTGGATATGCGGGAGACTCCATCCTGTACCCCTCGCTCGAGTAGCGATCGAGGAAATCGGGTTGAATACAGCGAGCCGATTAGGTAGCTAGGAGGGCGCGGAGGGAGGTAAAAGACGAGGTAATACTGGGGACGCGCTCGCGATGCGGAAATCACAGCGAGTCGTTCAAGTCGACGGGGGTCTGGAAGTCTCGTTACGGATGCGACAAATGCGGTAGAAGATGTAAATGCCGACCCAGGTCAAAGAAAGGAAAGATCGCTAGAATACCATACGGCCGGGGAAGTGCAGAATGATGCCTGTGAAGACCGGGGGGGGCTGTGGTGCCGGGGAAGGACACGAGTCCGCGCGCGGAATGAAAGCAATTAACTCCCACCAGCAAGGAACAGCAACAGGATCATAAAAGATTAACAAGTCTAGTAGAGTGATTAGATTAATAACAGGGTTAGTGGCAGATCGACCAGGGTCAACATGGTGGAGGAGGGGAGGGGGGAGGCACGGAGAGCAATAGCACTGGAAATTGGTGACGAGCGGCCGCCAGACCAGACCAGGGGCACAGCGGAAGAGGAGGGGGGGGGAACTACCGAGGACTGACCATGCAGCTGCTGCAGCTGGACACCACCACCGCCTCGTCTGATGCGGATAAAATAAGAACAAGAAATGGTAAGCAAAAAAAAAAAAAAAGGAAAGAGAAAAAAAGGAAACGGGGAAAAAAAGGTCAAGAGCCAGTCAACGGGACGGAGGACAAGCAGGGGGAGAGAGACGAAGAGTAGGCGAACGAGGGAACGAGACGAAAGAGAGTTTGAGGCCGAAATGAAACACACCAAACCGTGAGCGTCGTTTCAGATAGACTCGCCGCGGGAGCCCATCCATCCCCTCGTCAACGCATCCGCCATTGTGTCAGTCATAACTATTGTGGCCGGGCCTATTGTCTCGACAATCCGTCTCTTAAGAACATCTCAATTCATTCATCCAACGCGAATCTGCCCTGGAGTGAATGGGCTGGAGGCAGCATCATGGAGCCGGGCCCCCATCGAGGCCCCATACGAGGGACTCGAATACGATACTAGCCACCTTCCCAATCAGGCAGGGCCTGGACTGTCTCCGCCGGTATCGCGGGTATTGGTGGTACGGTACGGCTCGGTTCCCAACACCTCAGGCAACCATCAATTGCAGCCAGTCCCATTACGACTCGTCTGTCTATTGCATAGATAGTAGTCTCTCCAGTCTATACATCCAAAAATCCATATGTATCCGGCATCCATCCCTCCTAAAACGCCTATTAAACAATTATCAAAAGCAGTGTAAGTCTCTGTCCCAATATACTTCATACCCTTTTCCTCAAGATAGTTAACTACCTTGTCAGATGACATAAGTCGCACGGATAGGGCACGATGTAATCAAGCTACTCCGTGGACACCTCCCATCTCGGCATGGATGAGAGCCTCGTCGGCCAGCTGGGTCACCACCGTCTTATTATCCAGGGGTTCTTTTCTTTTTCTCTTCTGAGATCTCCGTGTTTCAGTCTGACGGCAGGGTTAAGTCTCCAGCGACTGGTGGATCACACTTGTCCGATACGTCTCACTGCGCTGGATCAACTCCTGATGCGTCCCTTGTTCCGCGCAGCGGCCCTCTTCAATCAGATAGATCTGATCCGCCTGGTGGATCGTGTTCAGCCGATGCGCGATCGCTACAATTGTCGTACGGCCCGCTAGCGTCGCCAGCGCTTCTTGGATCTTCTTCTCCGACTCCACATCCAGTGCGCTTGTTGACTCGTCCAGCAGCAGGAGTCGCGGCTTCCGCACCAGCGCCCGCGCAATAGAAAGGCGTTGGCGCTGCCCGCCTGAGAATTGCTTGCCGTCGTGGCTGCACATGGTCTGGTACCCGTCCGGCAGGGACATGATCACGTCGTGGATGTTGGCCATCCGACACGCCTCTTCGATCTCCTCCTGTGTCGGCTCATGGCCAGGCCGAGCACCGAGGCCAATGTTGAACGCAACTGTGCCTTCGAAGAGAACGTTCTCCTGCGGTACCAACGCAATATCGTCACGGAACTCGGTGCCTAGTTGCCGAGTCACATCGACTCCATCGATGATCACCGACCCGGACGTGGGTCGGTAGAACCGCTCTAGCATAGCGAAGGTCGTCGACTTGCCCGATCCGCTAGGTCCGACCAGCGCACAGAACTGACCGGGCTTGATGTCGATGTTAAGTCCTCGTAGAATCGGGCGTTCGGGCCGATTGGGGTAGGTAAAATGCACCCCACGAAGCTGAGCGCCAATACCGTTGTCATTCGCCCGTCGGACCGTACGGTGCGGCTTTTCGGCGGCCTCCACATCCTGCACGGTGGCCTTCTCCTCGAGCAGGCTGCTGGGGGGCTGGATGCTCTGCATTGAACCCGGCGCCAGCTCCTCTTCCGCGGAGCGGGTGGTGAGCAGCTCGACAATGTTGGATGACGCAAGGCGGGCCTTGGAGATATCCGGTGCCAGAGCAAACATCTGGCCACAAGACTGCGTGCTGAATAGCAGGGCAGGTAGAACAATGAAGAATTGGGTCTGAGAGTACAGCCCCGATGCCACCTGCCTCGATCCCCACCAATACGCCAGGGCATAAACCAGGTTGCTGATACTGAATGCCAACGCCAACCAGGCGTTGCCGTGTGCAATGGCCTTCATTGTATCTCGGTATGGGCGGCGCAGGGCTCGGCCAAACACTTCCTGGGATTGCTTCTCGAGGGAGAATGCAGCGACAGCGCGGATGTTGTCTACGGCCTCGACGGTGATGGCCGTCGCCTTGGCAAATGCCTTCTGATGCCGTTCGGCGAACTTCGCCTGAACACGGAGCTTCATCATACCTGCCACCAGCAGTATGGGAATGGTCGGAAACAGGACGATGGTGATCTTCCATGCGATGGCAAAAGAAATCACCAAGCCAGCCACCAGGTTCACGGCTGTAGCAAGGAGGAGACCGATGGTGGATCCAGTAATGCCACTCAATGAAGCAGCATCGCCGGTAATATAGGTTATCAAAGTTCCTGGGGTCCGGTCTTCCATGCCATGCCATTGTATGGTTTGGTTGAGCAACGACCGCAAAGACAACACCCGGATACGGTACAGGATCTTATCGGCTGCCCAGCCAAACGCGCAGCCGCCCACCACGTTGGCCGTAAGCTCAACCAGGGCAAGGACGAAGAACAACAACCCATAGAGATCGCCACTGTCACGGATGGCAGAAGAAGGTCTGCATGGGCTTAAACTGCCGACCGTATGGCCGAACACGATCGCCTCGGCCGAGTAACTGCCACCAATGATAATGGACATACAGAGGCCGAGGAAGATCAACGGCAGGTTAGTTCGCATTAGCGAGAAGGTATACTTGATCGTGAACCAGCCGGAACGCTTCTGTTTCTTTTTTGTGCTGCCATCAGCGCCACCTTTGGAACCCGGAGGCGTCTCAACGACCACCGTGTCATCTGTAACGTCTGACCCGCCGATACCTACCGAGGCTTCCTTCTCATCAGTGGGCTGCACACTTTCATGGAGACTGCTTGCTGTAGGTGCGCTGCGGATCATGTCACCGGGAATCTTTAGGTCTTCGACACTCAATTTGCCCAGATTCTGAAGCCGTACCATGTCTGCATAAACACCGCGCCGGGCCACAAGCTCCGCATGAGACCCTTCCTCCGTAACGCGCCCAGCCTGGACAACGACGATCTTATGTGCATCTTTGGCAGTGGCTAGTCGATGCGCAATAGAGACGGTGGTGACCTTCTTGGAGACCTTGGCCAGCGCAGCCTGGATGAGTTGTTCGCTGGTGGAATCCAAGGCAGCCGTAGCTTCATCGAGGATGAGCAGGCATGGCTCTCGCACGAGCGCTCGGGCAAGCGCGATTCGCTGTTTCTGGCCTCCACTCAACTGGTTTCCTGCCGTTCCCACGTTGGTTGCGAATCCATGGGGTAAGGCGTCAATGAAGTTGAGTGCGTTAGCACTGGCAGCCGCCTGCCTCACTAGTCGTACAATCTCGGCCACACAACCGTCAAAGCCCGTCAGAGCATCTGTCTCTGGCGCACCTTCCCTTACCCTTGCAGCAAGATCCGGGAGGCTTGAATCAAGAATAAATGGGGCTAGGCGCCGGTGCCTCTCTGCGGATGAGGACACCAGGCCGTACGCGATGTTTTCTAGGATCGTCCGATCCAACAGCGACGGTTCTTGTTGGACAAAACCAATGTTACCTCGCAAGTGTCGAACATTGAGATCCCGAAAGTTCTTGCCTCCGATTGTGACATCGCCCGATTTGGGGTCATAGAACCGTTCCAAGAGTGACACAACCGTCGACTTTCCACCGCCAGAGGGTCCGACAATAGCGGTATGCTTCTTCGGGGGGATGACAAAATTCATTCCCTGCAGAACGGGAACATCCGGACGAGCCGGATACGAGAAGTGGACATCATGGAACTCAATGTTCTCTTCTCCAAACGCTGCCGTCTGATCACCTTCGTCCGCAGTTCCATCAATGGCGGACTGGCGATTGATCACGGCCAGGAGCCGCTCCGAGGCGCCGGCTGCAGAGGCGAATACATGGATGAAGGGCGCGACTTGACTTAGGATAAATGACGCATCGATGAGCACAAAAATAACAGTATAGACGGCGCCCACAGAGACCCCCGAGCTGCTGTTGGCTACCGAGTCGGAAATCATCTGGGAACCTTCCCAGAAGGCCAGGGCGTTGGCTGAGTATGCGACGAAGTACAAGAATCCAAGCTGTGCGGCGTGTGTCCCGGCCTTTTTCAGCGCGTCCATGGATGATCTGGAGAGGTAAGTGGCGAATCGTTGTTCCAGACGGTCATTGGCGTTGAAGGCGTGGACCAGGGTCAAATGTGACAGGCTGGACGAGGCAATTGACGTGGCTGCATTGATATTGGCCGTGACACGGCTCGCATATTTCTTGATGAAATGACCACCCACCAGAGACATGAGTAAGAAGCAAGGCACCACAGATATTAGGATGCCAGCTATCTTTGGCACCTTGATGAAAGCCACGATATACGAGGTCACAAAGTACGAAACGGTCGCAATCACCAGACCCACCTTCTCCGAGGATCCCATTTGCACGGTCTCGATATCGCTGACCAGACGAGAGATCACATCGCCAGAAGGAAGGGACTCGATGAAATTCATGTCCTGTCTGATTATGCTTTCAAAGTATCGCCGGCGATAGCGGCGCGCGAGACGCTCGCTCACCAAGCACCAGCATGAAGTGTAGATGTAAATGATGAAGAAGTTTGCTATGGTGATATAGACCACATATAGGACCTTAGTGCGCACGCTAGACGAGAGATCCGACGAAGCATTGTCCGAAGTGGAGCAAGTGGTCGAATTGAGGTCGTTGATTAAATCACCAAAGACAATCCCAAGTAGTGGGAAGGGCACTCCGCCGGCGATTCCGGAGATCACACCGCAGACGATGAGGAACACGTCGAACATCGTATAGTCCAGAGAGAACAGGAGATGTATGTAGGCGAAGAACTTCTTCAGGTCTGCTTTAGTTGGTACAAGCTTTTTGGCATATTGCACCTAAATGCGAACGGGGCTACAGTCAGCCTGCTCATACGTCACCCCGCTCCCAATGAACGAGTAGACAATGACATACCAAGTCGCTGGCGCTATTGGAGCTTTCCTGCCCATCATGAGCTCTACTTGAGTCTGGCATGATGGTTTTCCGGAGTGTAGAGTCTCTGAGGAAAGGGAGAGAACGGTAATTGAGCAGACGCGATGGTCTAGAATGCCCAGCCTAGAAGAACGGCCCAGGTCTAGGAAACAACAACGATTGAGCCAAGCAGGAAGATACCCATCAATGAAAGGCGCCGTAGAAATTGTTGAAGCTCCCTTTGTGATGTCTCAACGAAAGAGGCGCACTGGGAGCCAGGTAGCAGCAGCTCCAGAATCCCTCAATTGGAGAGGTATGGGTCGGATCCCCCGCAAAACAGTCGACCAACAGTGGAGGAGTGAACCAAGACACTCTTGCATACACTCCCACGAACGCATCCCCGCCAGATCAGACAATACACTTAGTGAACGAGAGTTTTCTTTGGAGTCGGGGAAGAAAAGAAGGGGAGAGGGGGGATAATGAGATGGGGTTTCAAAAAAAAGGAGGGACTAGCTCGTACAGAGCAGAGACAGGAAGAGAGGAATCCATTTCCCATCACGACGGCTCCGGTTGCGGCCCTGACGAGCTAAGAATTGGGGCTGAGCTGGAGTTGACACCATGGTGCTTGGGTCTGAGGTCAGTCGCAGGGAAAGCCATGAGTAAGAAAAATCCGATAACCCCCAAAGTCGACCACCGGGAAGGAGGGTCCCGCTTCGCTGGTGGCCGAGCGGAGAAGAAGAAAGTTAGAAACAGGCATGGATCTCCACTCGGCAGGCAGGTAGGAAATAAGGAGGGACTTCGGAGTGACCTGCCAACGGTAGGGACTCTGCACATCAAGCGCTGTATCCTGAAAGTACCCAGGGTGAACCCGCGAATCAGTCTGGACTTTCAAAACCCGCGGGAATGCCGTAAAAAGTTACTTAGGAGTAGTGAGGAAGATCGACCATTGGGCATTTCTGCTCTAGACACAGTGGGGCCAGTGGGAGGTTGGTTCCTGGGATCTGTGTGATTGTACTGAAAGTATGTACCATACTGTGTAGTGGCACTAAGGAAAAGTACTCTTAGCCGAGGCCACACTAAGGCGTATATGATCGTCTCCTAATCCCAGGTAAGGAACCAAAACATTGGGTTGACTGGCCGACAGCAAACCTGCCAATCCAGCAGTCCTCGTCCACTATGAAAAAAGAACAGATAGGACACAAAGGATACTCAAACTAAAATTTGCAAACGAGGGTTCAGGCGCCAAGGTACTGGGCGTGGGACGTGGCTGACGGATCGACATGTTGTCGGGTTCATCTGATAACTCTGTGCCTCCATCACCTAGGGACGGGCTCGCCTCCAATCACCTGCCTTTTCGGGCCCCGCGGTGGGGACTAATTCCCAAGTTCTCCCATCTTCTTTCTTATTCCTCCGGCTCATCGAATCCCTGCATGCTGCCACGAACCTTCACATGAAACTTCCATAGGTCGATCTCGGTGCCGTCTGCACTTTGCAATGCCGTTGTCCGATAATTCTCCTGGTGTCCCTAACAATCAGTGGCTCTTGCCCACTAGCAGCATTTGGATTTTGACTCGTCCTTCCCCGGTCGGACCAGTCCGATCACTTCCCCTTTTCTCTTCTCTGCCAGCTTCGATTATTGTGTCACGATAAGGCCACCACGAAGAATATCTGCGATAGCCCTCCCCAGCGAATATCAACGATTCGAGAAACAGATGACAATTTCCTTACAAACGAAGGATTTTAGTAATATTCTAGAAATGTGAGCGACCGTACTAGGGCGGAAGGGATAGGAACTAGTATCCGCAATCCCACCTGCGATGGGGTCACCGATGGAGCGTTCCAAGTTATCAGATGGCGCATTTTACCCCATCGGGCACGGCTAGGTAATACGAGTAGTCGAGTACTACTTGGAGATTTTGCCTGCCGAACTCCTGAAGACCGGTTTCCTTCTGATTAATCCTGCCCGTCTTCCAAGGCCGTTCAGGGGCCGGTGTCACTTGATTCAAAATTTCCATTTCCTTTATCTAATCTGATCGATCGATAACCCCCGACGGCCTGTAAATCTGATTAGATGCTGATCTGATTAGATCCTGTCCATTTTGGTCTTCATCGTTCCTGCTGTTCAGCTGTTCCTGCCCAAAAGATCGGCAAGGATTGGCGTAAGGGACAAACGTTCAGCTCTTCTCTTAGGAAACTTTGTCGAGTGAACATTTGGCTCCTAACCACTGATGGCTCTTCCACTGCCGTCGTCTGTACACCGGCCGCCATCCCCACCCATCTTGAATGCCGCAACTCGAGAAAATCGCATGCACAAGATTTTTGACTTTTTGGACTTTTTAAGCTTTTCTCGTACACTATATGTTCCTTGATCCACCCCTTTTATGATCATGTCTTTGTTTCTTCTTTTTTACCCCTCTTTACTACTCAGATCATGACAGGTCAACTCCCCATTGAACTGCCTCAGGCACAAGAGACCAACCACAACAAACAAACATAGTACAACCTGCCAACTTTCCATCCCACGTCCTCGCAGAGTCCCAAACCGCTATAGTTTCCACCACAAGCCAATCCCAGAGAGAGTACATCCATCCTCATCCTCCACCCCATTACCCGATTACCCCCTCCTCCGATCCCAACCCAACCAAACACAAGTTACACAACCAACCACCTCGACAAACCCCTTCCACAACACCATGCCAGTCTCTCACCAACCCCTCCTTCAAATCCCTCCCACCACCCCAGACAAATTACCCAACATGTAATCCAACCCATCTCAACCTCACAGCCCGACACGTTTTCAGTAACGATCAAATCAAAGAACTAACTATTCGCATATTGATTTCAATATCGTCATCGCGATCACTATCCCTATCAATAGTAGTACTAAGTAAAAGTACAAGGAATTATCCCCCAAGCGACCCACCAATATCCTCCCCACAACTACTAGTACCAGTACCCAAGTCTCAATAACAACCTCCTTCCAATCCATTACAGAGTACAATCCCACCTGAAATCCAAGAAGCCCAACCCACCACGAACCCAACCCCAGCCACCAAACCCAAACCAAAACTAAAAAGAGAATAAACAGATCCTACTCGACGCACAAAAAAAAAAACAACAGAACCAAAAGCAGAGCCAACTAGTAGATAAATCACAAGGATGAAACCCATAATAAAGAGGGAGACCGATATCCGGATGACTATCCCTGCTGGTATACACCGGACCACCCCATTGACCTCCATCATCCGACGGGTACGACTTAGTACTAGTATGGCATATGGCCAGGGACCTGGTCGAACCAGAGATTAGTACTCCCGTCGGCAGGGATGAGTCACCGGGAATCCTGGTAGCCAGTGACTGTTAGCTAGTAGTAGTACCTAGCTAGCTACAGGACGACGAACCCGGTAACAACGACAAGTACGACGTACGGAACATTTCATCAGAACCAAGCTCATCCAGAAACCGACACGGATAATAATAATAATAATAATTATACTAATAAGGATCATCAAAACAATCAAGAGGGTTGATTCCCCAAGACCAGGACCCGGCTGCACCCGATATACGATATCCTTGAATCGAGGCCACCGGGACAAGGCCCCGGAGAGATCCTGGTCGAAAGGTTCTGGGCTGATATGAGGAAGGCTAGTACATGTAATCAATCACGCATAGAGTCCCATGGTCCCGACTGCAGGAATTCCACCGGAGAGAAGGAAGGAATGCACTCGACTACCGCCTGGATACCACCGCCTATCCCATCTCAAGCCGAGATACGCAAGATCGGTCACCAGAAGTGAGCCAAAACTTAGGGACTGCGAGAACAAGAGCCGAAACAATGACAGAGTTCGCTCTGTGCTCCCTGTGGACGCGTCGAATCTGCAGACGTCGTTGACAGGGCTGGATGCAGATGGAGGTAGAGTCCCGTGGGGAGACAGAGGCCGGACTCGATACCAGAGCCACATGAATGGAATAGGGATATAAATTACACTGTGCTAATTGAATAGGACTATGAATATTAGAGATGGATTGAACTGGAATAAGAATACACTGCATGAGTTGAGTAAGAATACAAAAAAAGAATCCACAGCATGAGTAAGAATAGGAATAAGAATACATTGCGTGAACCCCAACTCATCTGCCCCCTACCTGGCAAGGTAGTAGGTCAAGAGGCGACGGGTATTTTCGGTGGGCTCCCTCAACACCTGCCAAAACTCCTCCTCGTCTCCTACCATCTTGCGGAGTTGTACGCACACTTCTGTCGCCGCCTGGCGAAGACCCACCCGATTGCTGGTCAAGTATTTTGACACAGGCTCTCCAATTTTGTCCACCAACTCATGTGGCAGACGGTTTCTCTCGGTGTTCATATGCCGTAGGACAGTTGTAAGTAAATTAAGTCCCATGCACAGGGAGCGGGCGTTGAGCTCTTCCTCCGTCATCATGATCACGAGAGTATCGACAACTTCGACCTGGTCTGCAACCCCGATAACCTCCATCGCGGTGTCGGGCAAGTCTAGCGCGAGATGGCAGGATTTGTCGTAATGCACTCTTGCCCGGATCAGGGCCTTCACGATGCGATAAGAGAATCGTCCTATTTCCATTGTGGATGAACGATCCACCAGTCGCTTAATATGCCGAAATGTGTATTGGACCGTAACAAGCACTTGAGTCTTGAAATCAGCTAGACGTCGGCTACCCTGTAGTTTCGCCTCGGGGGCCCTTTCAAGCTCAGCAAGGAGGGCATCCAGATATTCTTCGTATTGTTCTTCTGTGTCGAAGAGCCTATCATTGCTTAGGATAATCCGCTGCATCTTGCGGTAGCCAAGGAGATCCATATCCTGTGAGAGGATTCGAGGGATCGCCGTCTCCAAAGTTTGTTGGGCGGCAAGGGAATCCGCGGTTCTAGGGGCGGTGATGCTTCGGGTGCGTGCAACGTGCAACGATGGGAGTTGCTCTAGGGAAGATAAACGTGGTGCGTCGTCAAGATGAGCAGATCCGTTCTCAAAAGATTCAGTCATAGCAACCGTTGATGTCTCGGGGTCTTGTTCGGTTGTCGACCGTGGTGCATTAACACGATGAGCGACAATCGGATACCGAATCACTGACAGTGATGGGCTTCGTGATCTGCCCGGTGAGTTAGGGGCTGAAG